TATCCTAACAGTTTTAATTGATAGAAGTATTCATGAGTTCACTGTTTTGTCTATCTATTTCTTTAGATTCAGCTTTTATTTAATTTTTCTTTAATTATGGAAATTTAGTCTAGATAGAAGGATTCACAGAATTTAATCTTTTGTAATTAATTTCATATGACTTTGGTGTTGTAAAGAATTATTGACGTGTATCTTCTATATTTGATATACTATTCATTTTTTAAGGACTATTTGATGAATATGTTTGGAAATACTTTTTCAATTTTTCATTCCTTTCTACATTGTTATAGAATAAATTATGATATTTTTTCTGTTTTTTTGATGGAGATGTAGAACAAGCTCTTTGTTTAAATTTCTCTAATTCATTAATCATATCCTTTCTAGACATATAAATCGGTAGTTTATTGATTTTTTGATGTAATGCTAAAGATCCTTAAGGTTTTATTATTCTATTATTTGATAAGTTAAGAGGAGTATAAATCCAAATATTATGTGGTAATGAATAAGAGCTAATTTTATTACCTTATTCATTTTTATTTGTTTATCTGATCTCTCTAACATTTGCAAAATTTTTTTTTTTTACAAGAAAGTTGATTGGTGTTTGTAAATCAAAAAATTATTTTGGAGCAAGAATATTTAACTTGTACATTGAAAAAATAAATTAATGTACTAAATGTAAAATAATCATTTTTTGTAATAACTAATATATTAATTTAATAATAATAAAAAAGTTAGTTAAATTTATGTAGCTGAAGTCAGTTCATCAATACTACATAAAAGCCAAAAATCAATCTAAGGATTAGAAAGTTACAAAATTTAAAGAATAAAATTAAGCCACTGCTTCCTAAATTTCCTTGATTTTGAGTAAAATGAATGGCAAAATTATTCAAGATTCAAAGGCTACATCTGATAGAACTAAAAATAATATATAAATATCTCCTAAATTACAAAATTGTTTATCAGCATCTAATTTAATGAGTAAAACATCATAATCCCCAAAATTAAGTGAATGTGCATAAATAGATAAGAAATTTGCTAAAGAATGTCCAAGTAGAATCAATAATGAGAAAGAAATCTAATTACCAATTGAAATTAATAGTTTTTTAGAAATGGAAGAAAGAAAGAGAACTTTGAATAATTTTAAAGAATAACTTTAATAAAACATAATGAAAATTTAGCATTTAGATCAACTTTAAACTTAAATGAAATTGATTGAATAATAGCTACATTCTATTGTTTAGACAATCATTTAATTAAAAGTAACCATTTATCTTGATCCTAGGATTCCTTATGTATTCAATTATAATAAGAATAATTGACATATACATAAATTACTTAATCTATTTCAGATTCATTGTATAAGATGAAAGATGATATAATTCATAATGAAATTAATATTATTGAATCAATGTAAATGAAACCATTTTAAAATATAATGACTATTTATAAAAAGAGATTGGATGAACATTAAAGTTGTGTTTAATAAATGATAGCTAAGAGATAATTTGTTATTCAATTTAATTAATGGTGTTAATAATTGATGTTAAAACTCTAAGTTGATACAAAAACAAATTTTGATTCAGATGAGAAAGAGAATTGTTTTTATGGAAGTAATAAAATAGCAGAATCTCCTAAATTTCGTAGCAATTGATGATATATTTATATTTTAATGTTTAATAAAATTATAGAGATTTTTTATGTATGTTTATTAAAAATTTTAGTATATGGAAATAAATAAATCATTTATTTAAAAAGAAATTATATGAGTAAATTCTTTTAGGAGGAATCCAATTCTGAAGGGGAAGAAGAGGCTCCAAGAGGAGGACCTGAAGTAGATGCAGGATTATAATCATAAGCAACAAGAACTAGAATTATTTAAGGATTAATAGATTCAGATGATGATGAAGGATAAAGAGTTATTGTAACAGAAAAAGAAAAAAGATATACAAAATTAAGAGAAATTATTAAAGAAATTAAGATTAAAATAAAAAATTAAGATTTTGTTACATTATTGGATAAATTTGAAGAATTAAATAAAGAGGTTGAAAAGGGTGCAAAAGTATTTGAAAGAGAAGGTGGATTACCTAGATTTTATATCAGAATTATGTGTTAAATAGAAGTATTGGTTCTCTAATTTACAGCTGAATAAAAAAAGAAATTAGGAGTAAATAATAGCAAAGCTTATAACACATTAAAATAAAGAATTAAGAAATTTAATTTGAGTATTCATTTATTCTAAGCATTATTTAGCAATTAAAGATAAAATTGATGAATTTATTAATAATCCTGTTACAACTGATTAAAGTGAAGATGAGAGAAAGAAAAAAGTAAAAGCAGATAAAAAATAAGTTGGATCAGATTCTGAACCAGAAGTACAATAAAAAGAAGAATCTTCAGAATCAGAAGATGATGATAAATATTTGCTTTAATCTAATGATCCTATGGTTAGAAGAAGATATTGGTTAAAAAAGAAATTACCAGATAAAAAAGATGCAAAAATTGAAGAAGCTTAACAAGAGAAAGTTAATAAAAAAGTTATTGCAGATATTATAGATTATGATGTTAAATTTGATATTGCTTAAAATAAAGAGATTCATATTGATTATGATCCTGAATCAGTCAAAAAAAAATTAGAATAAATTGTATCATCTAGAGGAATTCAAAAAAATTAAGTAGAGAATCTTTACATTTGTGAAAAATACATATAATATTTTATCAAAGAGAATCTCCAAAGAGCTGTGGAAGTAATTCTTTATTTTATCCTCATAGATATTGCTTATCACGATTTCTTTATAGATTGATCAAGCTAAATCAGAAGCACCATTTTATTTTAATAGATAATCATGGTTATAAATCTATTAAAATACATTCCTCTTATATTCACTTCATTAAGATAAGGGAGTCAAAGTTGAAAAATTACATACTTATAGTAAATATGATTAAGAAAACTCTTTTTCTGAGTTTAGATTTATAAGTACTCTTTTGGTCAATTTCTAAACACTCGAAGTTGAATTAAATAAAGCATTTTAAAATATTGATTATTACACATAAGAATATGCTGAAAGACTTAGTGATTTATATTAATTAACACATTTATCCCAAAAACTCTTAGAATTACTTAAAATTAAGAATGACACTGCCAATATTGCATTAATGAGTTTCAAACAATTAGAAGCAATATATTATATTGGACCAGCTGTGATCTAAAAATTATTGGAATTATAAACTAATAAATAAGCTGCAACTCCATTATAAATATTTGGTAATGGAGATATTTCATCTAAAATCTAATCACTTGTTGAAAATATTCTCAAATATGGAGATAAGGAAACTATTATAAAGGCAACTCTATATTGGGTATATAATTTAGCTTTGAATGGTAAATATGAATAAGCTCATGAAATTTTCATATCAAATATTTCATATGAATAAGTCTCATAGATGAAGACATTAATTCAGTTATATTATAATAGGGCTTTGGTTTAATTGGGATTTGGAGCTTTTAGATAAGGTTTTATAAATGAGACTCATCTACATTTGGCTGATCTATTAAGTAGAGATAAGGTTTTGAAGGATTTGCTCTCATAAAATTATACGAAATAAGTTGAAGGAGAATATAGATATACAGTGCCTTATCATATGTCAATTAATGTTGAGACTATTGAATTTGTTTATTTATTGGCTGCAATGTTATTAGAAGTTCCTAACATTAATCAAGATTTATTTGAAGATTCTCACAAAATCATTAGTAGAAAATTCAGATAGCTTTGTTAATATTATGATTCCTAAACTTTCAATCCATAACCTGAAAATATGAGAGACTTAATTTATGCTGCCTCTAAAGAATTAGCCAAAGGAAATTGGACTAAATGTTGGGATCTCTTAAAATAAATCCAACTTTGGACAAGAATACCTTCTTATGAATAAGTCTAATAATAAATTAAAGAAAGGGTTTAAGAATAAGCTTTAAAATGCTATTTATATACATTTAAGAATGGCTTTTCTAATATTTCAGTTGATTTTCTTAAGGAGAGATTTTAATTATCAGAATAAGTAACAAAAGCTATAATTTATAAGGTATTTCTTATAATTAATAATATAGATGATTTATTATGGAGAGATTAAAGCGATTATTGATAATTAAGATTAATCATTCTTGATTTTTGTTAATGATGACATCTCAAATTAAACAAAGAGATTGGCTAGTGTTCTTATTGAAAAATTAAATTAACAATGTAAAAATAATGAAAAACTAATGGTAAATTATAAATTTAAATTATTTAGGATTCTAAAATAGGAAGTTTTGGTATCGCTGTAGATAAAGAAAGTGTAGATTAAGTAAATAAGCAAAAGAAAAAAAATGTTACTAAAAACAAAAAACCTCCTAATGCAACAACAAAAAGAAAATGATAAATTATATTACATTAAATAATCTAAAGTATAGTAAAGGATAATTTTATTTAAATAAATTATTTTTGTTTATCATATACTTTAAAAGATATTTGTTTTCGAAAATTTAGAATTCAACCTTAATAATTTATAATCTTGCATTAATTATGAACTACTTTTAGTTGGCAATGGCATGAAAGACTTTAAGTTCATTTAACTTAATCTCATTGTATCTATTTGTTTTTTTGTCTCATTTATTTCTTAATCAGCACTTTCTTAGTAAAATTCAGTTTTAAAAACCTTTAAATTTGTATTAGTCAATAAATCTTAATTATTTATAGTCAATTAATTATTAATCTTATTTTCTTTAATCATTTTAGAAACTTTATATTAATCTAATTCAATTAATTAGATATCTGCATTAGCATATACATTTTTTGTATAGCCTCCAAAAATCAAGATTTTAGAATCAATTGAAACACTACAATGACTGAATTTACCTTATTTAAAACCTCCAATTTATTAAACAAGTACCCAATTCATCTACATTAATTATAAAACATATAAATCATTAAAAATGTTCTCATCTTTTGAATCATTTCTACCCCCATATACAATTAAAGCATTCAAATTATAATAATAATTAAGACTATGAGAATATCGAGCAATTGGTACTTACCCCTAAAATGATGGCAAACAAGTACTTTTGTTTTTAATTTAATGATCTTAATAGGTTTGATTCCAAATTAAATGAGTCTCAAATCATTTGAGGCTTCTCCATTTTGAGTTCTTCCTCCAAATACATATATTCCCTCTTAATTAACAGTAGAATACTTTCCTTTTTTCTTATTACATTCATAGCTAAAATAAGGATTTTCCATTTTAACCTCTCCATTAAACAAAGCAGCAGATGCAGCATCTGACACACCTTCTAGAAATTGATTTTCTAAATGTAATACTGACCTAGCCTATAAAATAATAATAATACCATTTATTAGTTTCTAAATTAAGGCCACAAACATCATTTAATACTTAACCATAAGGATTAAGACCTCCAAAAATAATAAAATATTTTCCAACACATTAAGCTATATGATTTCTCCTTCCTTCTATGACATCTCCACTTGTTTTTATTAATGTCCACTATTTTTCTAGTGGATTAAACATTCTAACATCATTATAACATTCTCTAATCTTCATAAGATGATTAAACTTTTTTTCTCCTCCATAGATTATAATATTTGATTTATATAGAGTGGCTGTGTGTCCAAATCTACCTTCATTTGGTGCTTCTCCTTTACCAATTCCAATATCTCTCCAAGCCCATGTTTATGTATTTAAAGCAATGACATTTTTAAATAAATCATTACCTATTCCTCCATACATATATGCTTTATTTAGAGAAGGAATATAAGTGAGAGAACATCCTTCTCTAACAGATGGTTTCCATTCATTTATTTAAATATTGAACCAAAATACTTTGATTATAGTTGAGGATGTATCAAATTATTTATTATTATTATTTTCATCATTATTTTATTCATTTTCTTCTACTTATGGTATAGGTTTTGGTTTTAATTTAATTTTTTTAACTTTTTAAAGATGTTAAATTTCTTATTATTTATTTATCAATTCTGTAATTTCATTTACTGTGCTTGTCCATTTTCTATTTAATTAATTTGTAAATTGATTAGCTTATAATTAATTGAATTATAATCTATTTTTAAGTGTAGATTCATTTGGATTAAGTTAATCAGCTTTACCCCACCAACTTGAATTAGTTTTCATCATTTCTGTAAATGTTTTAAATCCAATGTCTTCATTTTATTATTATAAAAATATAAGTTTACAATCTCCTTTTGAAATATATTCATCTATAGCCATAGTTGATTATTGTCTTAACATTGATGGTTATTTTAATTAGATCATCTTTTCAGTTTTACTCAATCTAATATTATCAATTCTAAGATGATGAGTAGGAGTAAGTTTTCTAGATCTGATATCATCTAGCTTTTACTATTGAGTTTAAATCCATCTTCGTCTTCTTTCTTAATCCATAATTTTATTAATTCATTATTAATATAATGTATCATAATTGATATAAATTTATTCACTTTTTCACTTTTGGAAAACATTCATTACAATCATCAATCTCTTATTATTTATATATAGATCTAACAGTTACTCTTTTCTATCTAGTTGAATCCATACTCATCATTATTGATTATTTTTAAGAAGTATTTCTTTATCTACCAGATCTTCTAACATATTCTTCACCATCAACTACAGTCTAAGTAGTACATTTAATTGTTTTTTCAAATGATCTGTCTAAAGTTTTAGATAGACCTACATGATTTTTATAAATGTATTTATTAAAATACCAATATGGATTAAATTCTCTAACTTCTAATAATTCACTTTTATCCCAACTATCAATAAAACTCTGAAATTATTTTTTCAAAAGATCTTCTATAGTATAATTTGATTATCTATAACTGCATATTTCATTTCTGAATTCAAAAACCATACCTAAATCAGATGTAAATTTTATAGGATCTTTTAATTATTTGAGTAAATATGCAACAGTAATTTAAGTAAGTTCTGAACAACCAGATAATAATTATAAAAGTAATGAAAATTTTCTATTCATAATATCCTTCTCTCTAAATAATATTTTAATTTAATTATTTAAATATTCTGTATCATTAAATATATCTGATTTTAATTTCAATACATGAGAATGATTTCTATCAAAATTCTATATAGCAACTGAAAAGTCTGCCTCAAATACTTTAAATTTTTATTCCATTTCTTCTCTCATCTCAAATAACATTTATATATCAGTCTTCATATCTTCTAATTATTCATTCAATAATTCATTTAAAACCAAAGATTTCTGAGTATTTTCAGATTGACCAATCTAAATTAAATTAAATCCTCCTTTTGTATTTTAACAAATACTATTTCTTCTAGTTATTTTCTAACCTTTAAATGAACTACTTGTTATTTTCATATCTATTTATTCAATTATAAAATTCTATAATTATTCCTGTTAACTTAATGAATTATCTGATAAAATAACCTATACTTCAACATCTTTTTGATATTATTTATTTTTAATCTCCTAAAGTTATAATTCAAATATAGCTAATTTCATATTTTATTATTTTAAAGATTCATTCAATAATTATTAACGTATATCTTCTAATTTATAATTGAACTCCTATGACATTTCTTTTGCTATCGTAGCTTTTAAACCATTAAATTAATCTGTCAATTTCTTCATTTATTAATTTATATTTGTTTAGAATACACTAATCTAATTATTTACTAAAATTGATATTTTCTCTTCAGCATTTTTCTAAAAATCCTATAACTCATTTAAATTAGAATTCTAATTTTATAATTATTAAGTTGTTTCCTTAAAGAATTTCTAATAATTCTCTGTTTACGTATTCATTTATTATTAAAAAGAATTCAACTACTAACGATATTGAATCTCAAACATCTCTAACCCTTTTACTCTTTCATCAAATGATATATTGTAAACCTGTACTTAACTTTATAGTGATTATACAGCTCCCTTTATAAATTAATTATCTTCCATTCTTGACTTTTCTTCCTCTATATATACATCCATTATAATACTTTATCAAAAGTAAATTTAAAATAATCTTAATTCACCAAATGATTCATTTCATTTATTATCCATTCAACCCTTTAAGTTAAACTTGAATACTATGATTCCGATAGATCTTTAAAGGTCCCTAATTACTCCAATTATAGACATTAGTTCTAAACATCTTTCTAAAGTAATTGCTAATCCTTTGAAATTTTATTCACTTAATTTCTACTATCTACAAAAAATGTATAATAATCTTTAAAAAATTCATCAATTTTTTTATTAAAAGTTTCAGTGTGTTCTGCTTGTTTCTTTGCTAGCTAATCTAAATCAGATTAAGTTTTTATTTATGAATTTATTACAAATTAACTATTATTCTTTTATTGTTCCAATTCTTTTTCTAATGATTCAATTCTTGATTTCAAATGAGTTGATGATTATTAATTCTGTGTTAAATTCTTCATGATTTCTAACTCTAGCTTTTTTTACTATTTCTAAAGATTATCAATTTCAGAATATCTCCTATTAGTTTCAATCTAATGATTTTGTTAATTATCATTCTATTATCTAATTTACTATTTCAAATTATCAATATTCAGTTACTATTAATCTATTTATCTTAAACAATCAGATACTATATTAATATAAGTGATATTACATCTCATCATAGTGGGCTAAGACAATTCATAAACAACTTCTCTTATTTTAGTTTCAATTGAGAATTGGTCCATTTATATATAATATTAATGAATATCATAAATTTAGAAAAATTGATTTAATCAAATTATAACATAATAAATTCTTAAAATGTATCTTGACCTCCTCAAATTACTCTTATTAAAAGTCCTTAAGATGTCATTCTAAGAAAAATTATACTTTAAATATATAATCAAGTAATAATCTTAAGGAATAAAATAGATAAGAATTAAGAAACATACTAAGGAAACTATGAATCAATCATTTTATATAGACTTTATTTATAAATATAAAAAATATATAATGAGCATTACTTATAAAATAATTAAAGTGCAAAGAAATAATATTCTGTTTATTATATAATTTTATTTTATTACAATTGTTTAATGCATTAAGGTTATTATTATGTATTTTTGATCGATTTTTCATATCTAAAAATACTGTTTTATTACATATTGAATTAGATTCTAATTAATCTCAAATTATTTTGAGAAAATTAAGTGCAATAATTATTTTTTAGAATTTCATAGATTAATAAAATTTAAAGAGAAAAATAATTATTAATTTATTTTTGATTTACTCCAATTTATGGTCTAATTACAATTAAACCATCAATAATGTTAATCCATAATAGAGTCAATTATTTAATCTTATTTTAAGCAATTTTACTAAATCTTTTAAAGAGAGAAAATTAAATTATTAATTTTTGGATTTATTAATTTTTATTAAAGAAGAAAAAACTTGATTTTTTTCATTTCTGCTTTAATCTTTAAAATTAAATAAATTGATTTAAATGATACTAATATTATAAATGTCGTCCAAACATTAAAAAGAACTTTTTAGAATATTAAACATATCATCAAAATTTGATAATCAGAAAATCTTTTTATAAGATATAATAATTTAATTTGTTTTTTTCATTTTATAGTTTTAAGTATTAGATATTTTTAAATATCAAAGATTTGAAAAAGATAAGGAATAGTTAGGAATTATAAATTACTGTATTTTATGATAATCTTAGTTTAAAACAGAAAGTATGAAAATAATAATTAAATTATATCTTTATAATTATTTATAATTTTCTACTAATAATTCATTAAAGTTATTTTTGAGTTTTTTTCATGGTGCTTTCAAAAGGATTCAATTTAGTTGACTTTTTGACACTCTTTGTTTTCAATTAATCAGTGTGACTTGTTGATTTTTATTTTTCATGTTTTGTAGAAATATTTTCTAAACTATTATTAGAGTTTTTAACTTCTAATTTTTTCTATTGTTATTATTTTGACAAACGGGTTTATTTGTTAGAGATTAAAATCTCTTAATAACTTCTAATGTCCAACACAATTTTAGCTGTATCAGTCTTTGTTAAATTTGTATTTATTTCTTTTTCTTATTATGCCTATACAAATATATTATCTTAAACTTTATTTTCATTTTTTTACTATTCGATTGGCAAATTATTTTGATATTTTATTTAAGAATAATATCCAAATAAACAATTTTATTTCTAAATTAATAACTGATAATTGATTTCACTAATAAACTTTTAAAAATCAGCTCTTATTGTTTTATATAGATCTGCTAATTACATTCCATTAAACATAGCATCAAATATTTACTTTTTTAAATTATGATAGTATTCAATTAATTCAATAACTGCAGATATTTAATACAATAAAGAGATTTTACCTTTTTTAATAAATATTTCAAATTTATTAGGGGCATTTTTAAAGGATTTTGTTGAAATAGATTTCCATTAGAGATTTTCAAGAAATTCATCAATTACCATTTGAATTTTAACATTAGTTTCTTGAATTTATTTTGTTTAATTCATCTTAGTATAGAGAATTATTAGATAAATTAAACATTTTAATAAGTGATATTCTTTAATTGGGAAGAGAAAATATCTTTCATTAATTTCTATTTATTCATTTAATTATTTAATCTATTATGGTTTTTTAGAATTTTCAAGACTCAGATAAGTTACATAACCAGATAAGATAGCGTATAACTCATCTTTTTTAGTTTTGTTTAAAATCTTAACAATCTTTTTCAAAAATTTAAGTGCTTTTTGATTCATTTTAAGTCTAGATAATTATTAAACCTTTATTAAATATTATCCATATTTTTCAAGAAGTAATGAAGATTTTTAAACAAATCTTTATCTATAAAATTATGAAAGGAAAGTAGAAGCCATATGTTCATTAAGAGTTGAAAATAATGCTAAATCAGTTGAATCTCTTAATTATTGTTTATTTTTTATTTTTTAAAATGCTACTTTAATTTTTTATATTAAATTAAGTTTTTTAGCTTAAAAATGCATTTAAATAATAAAATTATTAGATTTAGAATTAGTATAAGTACGATTAGATCTCTCTATATATCGTAAAGCACTTAAAAATTATCCATTAAATTCAAAAATACATGCCATTATAAATTATAATTTTGATATGATTTTTCTTTTAAATATCTTTCCTTCTTAATAATATTAATTCATTTTTTCTGCATATGAAAGTGTTATTTTAAAGGCTGATCCTATATCATCTTATAAGACAAATAATTATAATTATTTTAATACAACAGTTACAACTTCATCTGCATACATATCAAATGATCTTAATAGTAACATTTCAGCAACTTTTAAACATTTTAATGAATTTTCTTAATCATGTACATCAAAATAACTCATTCCTAATAATAATTCCAATTTAGCCTTATTACTTGTTGCTAAATTTTAAACTTTAATGTATTCAAATTTTTGAGTTGTTTTCTCTTTTACACCATTTTCTACTTGATCTTGGGTTTCTTCTAATGTAATAAATTCTGGGAAATAACCATCATATATAACTTAACTCATTTCTAAATTGAGCATTGCTGATACTGCTTATAGACTTTCTTTTTATATTTCTCCACTTACTAATAATGAATATCCATAAAATAATGAAGCAAGATGCTGATTTTTTAATTAAAATCCAATTACTTTTTATATTTTATGGACTGCTTAATAATAATTATGACTAGCTAAATAAGATTGTGCATACATAAGTTGAATCATTATATGTTTTTTCTATTCGATAATACCTTTAGATGAATTGTGACTTCTTAATCTTTTATCCATTTACATTTTCATTTCTAATTATTTATTAATACTTCTTTGAAATTCATTTAATAAGGGTAATGGCTTTCTTTAGGATAAAGTAAGTATCTGAAAAATAATTGTAATATGAAAATGATCAATGCTGGTTTCATAGATTGAATTAATAATTTCAATAGGTTTTTTCATCATTTTTGATACCATAATTAATTTATATTACCAAGAGTCATCAGTCATGGATTTTAAAGTATAAAATGAATTTAATACTTCAACATATGCTTCTTCTAATTTTGTTTTTTAACATTCTTTAAATTTTTGATAATAGAAATGAAATGAATCTTCAAATAATAATGATTAGTAAATTAGTTCTTTATAAATTAATTATTATTCTGTGATTTTATTATTATTAATAGATAATTCTTCATATTCTGAATTAAAATCAAATTAAAACGTTTTTAAAAGTTTTTAATTATCTTCTAAATCTAATGAGTTTTCTGAATCAATTTCTTTTTATTATTCTACATGATTAGGTTCTTAAATTTATATATCAATTTATTTTTAAGAATCCTTTTCTTCTTCTCCTTCTAGATTTGATTCATATTCATTAATAGATTTTTAAAGTGATTCAATTATTGGTAGAGTATCTTGTAAAGTTTTATCTATTGATTTGATTTCATTTGCATATATTGCCATACGAATGAATTCTAAAATATATCGATCTGATTTTGATGATAAAATTTTATCAACATAAATTATATAATTAGTGTCATCATCTTATTCTTCACCTTTTGTTATATTTTAAAGATATTTTTTTCTTTATGTTTGAATTTATTTTAATGTGAAATGATTAATCTTTTTAAAATAAACTAAAAGATCACATAAGGCTAAAAGATCTTTTTTAAATGCTTTTTAAAATAATTTCAATTTCTTTTCATCTAATTATTTTATTCCATCTTCTACATTTAATCCAAATTATAACAAGTATTTTAATCTTCCAAAAGTTTACAACTTAAAAGTCTTAAATTTTGAAACATAAAATATTGTTGATAATGTAAAATTTAATCTATATAAATAATTTGAATAGCATTAATAAAATATATCTATAAGATTAAGTGCTAATTTTTGATATAAAATCTTAGATAATTCCATTTAATTTTTTATACATAAATTTTATAAATCTTTTAATGAATAATCCAATTTATCATAAAATAAAGCTAATCTATATACATTAGGTTAATCAAATTAAGGAGGTAATTCAAATAAGAAAGTAGTATTTGTTATAAATACTAATTATAATACAAGCTTTTTAAAATATTTTTAAACTAGCAAGTGAAATAGAACTGTCAAAAATCTTGATTATTATTCAATATCTACAACTGAGATAATTTCAAGCATTTCTTAATTAGTTGAATTAATTAAACATGTTTCAAGTTATTTCTCATGTAAAATCAAACTCTATCTCTTTTATATTTTTTTCATATTTGCCTTCATTTCTTGTTGGCTTCTATCAACATACAATAATTTATCAAATGCATTAAAATTATTTGTGCATTCTTTATCTGCATTGAAATAATTGTCATTTGAAAAAAATGTGAGAAACCTTGAATATTTTTAAGCTTCTTCAAATTTTTTAGGCTTTAAAGTGAAATATTTGAAATCTAATTGTGTAGTTAAAGTACCATTCAAATTAACATTATAAAATAGTTCTTTATAGTTAATAAGTATGGAAATTTTGTAATATTTCATATCTCCTTCCTTTTACAATTCAACCACAATTGATTTTATAGATAAAATATGATCTAATTTTCTTAAGTAGTTTGCGTCGTCTTTATGATGCTCTGATTTTTTCTTTTTTATTTTATCTAGTTTTGGTTGTTCAACATTAACTGCTACATCCTCGTTTCCAACTTAAGTAGCCAAGTTACAAATATCAGTTGGATTAGTTTGATTAATTTGGAAAGTTTATGATTTCCTGCTTGATGAATAACACTAAAATTAAATCTGTTCTTATTCTTCTTCTTCTTTTATTTTTTATTATTCAACTATAGTCTATTCAATTTATTATCTTATTCCATCTTCTCTATCTCGTTATTTGGAACAGCAAACACCCATTATTTAATATATATTCAATTCTTATTTAGAAGATTAATAATGATTTATGTAATAAGTTTTGAGTATTTAAATAATTGTGTTATAAAACTTAAGAGAATTCCTTTGGTTGAAAAAAGAATTGATATTTTTGAAGATATGAGAAATATTGAAAATATTAAATAATAAAAATAAATAATCATTTTTTTTTAACCGATTTTTCAAAAGGATTAATTTTTAGTTTTACTTATTAAATTGATGCCAAACTTTGTTAACTTATTGTTCTCCTTCTTTTATTTGTTAAACCTTCATCAGCTAATTTTATATATGAATTCTTCGATTAATCATGTTCAACACCTGGTTATGATAATGACTTCTTTTGTCTTCCTACCATTTTTATAGGTTATAAATTTATTTAAGATGAATTTTGTTATTATTAATTATCTTTGATTGAAATAGATTTTTAACATTCTACTTATAATTACTAATTTTACAAAATTTACTTCATCTAATTAAATTAAATCATTTAACTTTATCTTTAAATTATAAATGAACCACTTTATCCTTACTAATTTTATATATTGAATTCATTAGATTAACTCATATTTCTAGCTAAACGTAATCTACGTTATTATAATAATTCTAATTAACGTTATCTCTATTCTTCTAAAATTTCATCAGCAGATCTTAAATCTATTAAAATTTTATTATTAGGTAAAGCAGTTTCTTTTGATTCATCAACTGAAGAAAATTAATTTTTTTGTATTTTCTCATTTGTTTAATCAATAAGTGTAGAATTTTATGTTATTCTACTTTTTGTTTATTCATCAACCTTCTTTCCCTCATTACAAGAAAACATACTGGAAACTCTTCTTCTTTATATAATATGAACTTTTGCTAATTAACCAATTTAACATCTTGTTCTTTTTTCAAGCCAATGTTGTCTTTTTTTATTACTCATCTATATTAACTTTTTTGTTAAATATAATTAAGCTTATTCTTACAGTTATTGAGGATCTGTGAAGTTTTCATACAATAATTTCTTAATACTATAATATAGATCTATAGAATGAATAAGTTCTTAAATCTAATGCAAAGTCTTTGAACCAATTTTTGCTGACATTACTTTGAATTTGTTGATTCGAGAAGCAACTTAAGGAGTCAAATTCCAATGAATATCTTCATAGATTTATTCTATGAATTTCTCTATTACATCAAATTAATCCAGTATTTTTTTCTATTAATTCTTTTAAGCCATATCTAATAGAATATAAAGATTTATTTTTATAATATTACATTATTTCATTGGAAATTATAAATATCTTTCATGAATTTCTATAGCTAATTTCATATAATGAATTCCTTAATCATATTTTTTTTAGTAAATATTAATTAAACCAAGTTTTTCTAAAACTATACCAAAACATTCATCAATTCTTTATTTCTTATAAATTTTATGAGTTGCTTAATATCTAATAAGTGCATCAATTAATTCATAATTATTCAAATAACCATTAGCATATACTAAAGAAGATACAATATTTTAATTTATAGTGTTTGCTTATTTTTAATTTTAATAATAAGAATTTGAAAAATAAGGTTTAAGAATATCTGAAATGCTTAAAAACCCCTTTAAATTATTAAGTTGATTAATACATTACTTATCTAATGATATAGTTTATGTTGCTATTTATTTTATTTTTTCAATAATTCCTTTAATTTTATCACTTATATATAATTATCGTATATAATTATTAGATTTTGAAGCTTAAAATGTTTTTAAAGCTCTTTAGTAGAATCTTAGAGAACTAACTAAAACTCCATTGCTTTCATAAATAACTGCCATAATTAATTGAAGTATTCCAACATTTTTAGTTTTTAAAGCTTCTTTATTTTTATATTTTTCATTCATTTTTTAAGCTAATTGACAACATAATTTAGCTACAGCACCACTTTCTTCTTATTCAACATAGACTCTAAGAATTTCTAGAGTAATTTCAATGACTTAATCAGAGAATTATTCAAATCTCTTTTCTCTAATAGATTTAGCTCTTTTTAAACATTTAAGTGCATTTTCTTAGTCATTTAATTAAGAATACATTTATCCTAATTTAAATTCTAATACTGATTAATTAGTTGTAGATATATTATCAACTTCCTTTATAAAACATTAAGATTTAGTTTATTAAATTTATTGATTTTCTTTATTTTAATTTTATTGTTATTATTATTTAGGTTCAATAACTTTTTCTGTCATAATAATAGAAGATGGAAAATACATATCATATAATTGTTTACACATTTCTAAATTGAGCATTGCAGAAATAGTTTACATAGTTTTAGCACATAATTATCCATTTAAAAATAGACAATAAGAATAAAGAAGTGAATTTTTTTGATTTTATTTTTGTTATAATGTAATTATTTTTTACATATAATGAATTGCTTAAGAATAATTATGTCTACTTATTAAATTTTCTGTATAGAATACTTAAAGAATTATAGCTTTTCTCATTTCAATCAATCCAGTTGGAGCATGATTTTATTTTAATTTTGGTTTTATCTATTCTTTTTTAATTTTTTATTATGCTTCAATTAATCTTTATAATTAAGTAATCAAAGGAAATGGTCTATCTTGAGATAAAGTTAATAAATTTATCAACACATAATAATGAAATGGATCTTATCTATCTATAGGATGAGCTACTGCTTAATCAATAGATGATTAAAGTGATTTAGCTTATTCATTTAATGAAGTTTCATATTGTTATTCATCAAAATTTATTTATTGAAAAGATTATAAAATATGAGAATGAACAGCATGTAAAGTATCTGAACAATTTTATTAATAAGAGATACAATTTTGTTAGAAACGATAATTCATAAATAGGGAAGAATATAATAATTCTTTGTATAAACATTTAAGTGATGTTACTTTTTAAGATTTATTGAATTCTGGTAATGAATTCATTTATTAAACTAAATCAAAATTTTCAATTTCTGTTTAATATTCATCTCTATCACTATTTGATTAATCATAAATTTAGAAATTTTAATTTTCTTTCTATTATTTTTTCTCTGTTTCATTTCTTAATTCTAATTCTGCGATAATTTATTCTAAATTTACTGTAGAATCTTTTAAGTCGCTTAATAATCTATTAATAATTTGAAAGTATGTACTCATTCAATTTTTCGTATTAGATTTCATCTAAACTAAATCTAATTACTTCAACTAAAGTCTTTTCATAGTCTTTTTCAAGAATCATTTCTGTATATTTTAAATATTCAGAAGACTTATTTGTTTTAGCTTATTTACGAAGATGTTGGATACTATCTAATGATTTACTTACATCTTTAAAGTATAAAATTAAATCACATAAGGCAGCAAAATCCTTTTTAAAAGATCTAATAAAAAATTTTAATTTCTATTCAGGTACATTTTTTAAATTAAGTTATTAATCTCCATCAAATGGTATTAAACTTTATATTCTACAAAAAGATTAAATCTTAAATTTTTTGTGTCTTTTTGTATAAAATATTGTAGATAAAGTATAATTGATTCTATAACAATGATTTGAATAACAATTATATAAAGCTTATATTAAATTGTGTGCTAATTTTAGAAAGCAAATTTATGACAATTTAACTTCTTCATGTTTCATATAAACAAGTAGATCATGAAGATTATAATCAAGACTTTCATAGAATATTGCAATTCTATATATATTAGGTTATTCCATTTTTGGCAATTAATCAAATAAAAAAATCAATTCTTCAATGTAAACTATATTGTTACTAATTTATGGCATTTATTCTTTCAATAATAATGCAAATAATATTTAAAGAAATCTAGGTTAGGCTTCCAAATCAAAAACTTATACTACTTCAAGTAATTCACTTACAAATTCTTATTTTTTTATATTTTATCTTTTTTTTAAAGGAGATGGACTTTAATGTTCATCTAAAACAGAAGATGATCTTCTAGAATATCTTTTAGTAGGTGAGATTCTAATTTATCTATCTTTTGTTATAGTTCTTTCAACATTTAATAATTTCTCAAAATAATTAGTATTATGTAAAGGATCAGCATTAATATTAAAGTAAAAATCATTTTAAAAAAAAGGAGAGAATCTAGAATGTTTAGCAGCATCTTCATAAGTATTTGGAATGAGTTGAAATGTTTTCTTTGGATGATTAATTAACACTCCTTTTAATTAGACATTATGACAATAACCCATATATTCTAGTACCATGAGTATATTATATTATTATTAAGTCTGATCTTATTCTTCTTCAATAATAATAGATTTAAGTGTTATATGATACTCTATTTACTTGAGATAATTTTCATCTTTGGTTTTTTTCTTTCTCTTCTTTTTATTTTAAGCCTTTTATTCAATGATCTATTAACTTGCAGTTTCATTTAGATCTTTAGAAACTATTAATTAAGTTTATGTATTAATTTTAAGTGTTATTTCTTCATCATCAAGTTAGTTTTAATTTTGATATGCTAATTCTTCTTAAATTTACATATCTTCTTATTCCTTTACAGTATTATCAATTTGTTTTTAAATAATTGCGTAGCGATCATTCTTCTTAACTCCAAAGCATATACCCATATATATTTAAATATGTAATAATAATAATAATAATATTCATTAAATTAGACAATTTATTCATTTCTTTCTTTTAACTTTTTGGAAAGGATTTATTTTTTTATCTTAAGTTTTTTATTAAGATGGTGATTTAATACTAATGGGACTTAAAACTGGACTGACCAAAGCTGTTGCTGGTAAAGATGTTTTTTATTTTGAACTTGTTTTTTAATCTATTTCATACTCTTACAATTAATCATAAACTTCTGGTCTATCTTATTTAAATTATTAAATATATTAATATTTTTCAGCTTATTTTATTGGAATTGAATTCTTTATTTTTTAGTTTTTATCAATTCTATCTGTATTTTAATCTTTAGTTTTTTTAATTTATATATCAATTTTACTTTTTGATAATTCCATTTATTCATTATTTATTACTTCATTTTTTTATATGATTATTTATTAATTTTATGAAATTGATTCTTTCCATGTTGCTTATCTTCTTTTACCAAAACTGAATAATCCAAAAAGACATGATTTTCTTTAACTTGAAATATCTGAATTTTTCACAGTTTGTTAATTGAATTTTTCATTTAAAAACTTTTCTGAAATTTCATTCAAAACTTAATCATTATTTAAATTCTATCCAAATTTGATTCTTAATTTATTATATTTTTCTATTCTTTCAAAAAGATCATTAAGTACATACAATACTGATCTACCTAGTTTATTGGATAATATAGCAAATTTATTTGATCTTTATTTATAAGGAACATTTTACCAATTCAATAAATCATTGATATTCTAAATAAAGTCATCAATATGAGTTAATTATTTCTGAACCTCTTTAACATTTCTTAATATAGCATAACCAAGTAATATATATATTTCACATGTTAATATTCTCATTTCTTTCAATGGAAATTACAAATATCTATCATGTAATTCAGATGCTAATTTTAAATGTTGTATTGCTATTTTTAAATTTCTTTAAATCAAATATATGGTACCAATCTTCTCTAAAGTAAAACCATAACATTCATCAATTTTCTTTTTTTTAAATTTTTAATGTATTCTTTGATATCTTCTTAAAGCTTATTAATATTCTAAATTTCTTAAATTTTGATTTGCTCTTATATACCTTTTCATCAAAGTAACATTATATAAAACTATCTTGTCATTTTCTAACATTCTAATAAACTGATTATTAAAGTAAGGCTTCACTTTTTCAGAAAGATGACCAAGATAATGCTCAATATTAAATTCTGATTATTACTCTAAACTATGAGATTAATAAGCCTTTAACTTTATCAATTCAACTATTTTTCTAATTTTCTATAAAATATGTAATTATCTAACATAAGAATTATTTTTAGACATTGCAAATGTTTTATTTGCTTTCTAATAATATTTTAAAGCACTTACTAACATCATATTACATTCATATATAGCTGCCATAATTAATTATAAACGAGCAATTAATCTACTTTTTGTTAATATATTCTATTTAGCCAAATATTTAAATTTAACATAATATTCTTAACAAATCTCTAAAGCAGCTCCATTTTCTTCTTATTCAACATGTATTTTTAAAATTTACAAGACAACTTCTAAAACCTCATCCGAAACTAAATCATATTTCTTTTCTCTAGCTTCTTTTACTTTTCTTAAACATTTTAAAGCATTTTCTTTTTCAGACAATGTAAAATATACAAGTCCTAAATTAAATTCAAGTATATTCAAATTTTCAGAACCTTCATTCTCAAAATGAATCATTATTTATTTGTATTATTTATTACTTTCTTAATATTCTACATCTACTAATTGATTAGTCTCTTCATCTAAATACATTATTTTCTAAACAGGGAAAAATTGTTAATAAAGTAATCTACAAACTTCTAAATTCAACATAGCTGAAACTGGTTGCATCATTTTCTCACAAATTATACCACTTATGAAGAGACTTCTTCCATAAAGTAAATATGATTTTAAATTAAATCTCAATTATTATGTTACTATATGTTATACTAATTAAGTGGCATTTTAAAATAAATGACGTTTCAGATAATGATCAATATAAAAAAGATCTAATATCAATGCTTTTCTCATTTCAATTATACCTGTACATGTTTAATGTGTACTTAATTTAGGTCGTATTTATTTCCTTCTTATAGTATTTTACTACTAAATTAATGATTTAAGTTAATTTAATAATTAAATTGGTTTATCAACTAATGAACTTATTAGTGTTAATAACAAATAATAATGAAATGAATCTTAAATTATAAATACTTTTTCCTTTAACACTAATTTACTTGCTTCTTGTAATATCAATTATTATTCTGCTAATTTTTATTCTCTAGATGGAATATTCATAGTTTGACCTATAGATTAGAGTATTAAAGCATATGCACGATGAGCATCATTTGTGCATATTTCTAAAAATTTCTTACTTCTTTCCATAAATGTTTCAAAATAAAATAAGGCAGAATACTTCATTTCATTAAATAGATCATTTTCGCTAGGTTAAACTTTTTACTTTTTAGATTTTTTTGGCAAATTAGTTTCAAATCTGTGTAATTCATTCTCCTCTTCTGCAATAAAATCTACTTACTCATTATTATTTATTTTAATAATGCTTTCATTTTGTAAAATCATCTATTCTTTTAAATCATTCAATTTTTCTCTTTAATATATTTCATCTTAAATTTATTATTCTAAAGTCATTATTAATGTTTTGATCTCCTCTAAAATATAATCAAAGTTATCTTTATCAATAGGTTAACATTTTAATCTTATTAATTCATATATTAATTTATCTGAATTTTCAGAATCTAATAAAGACATAGCAAATTCTGCATATTTTTAATGATGTTGATCTGAGTTTTTTTTCTTCCTCCTAATTTTCTTTATATTTCCTATTTAATTATCAATATTTTTGAAAAGAAGAATAAGATCACACAAAGCTCCAAAATCTTTTTCAAAATCTTTTATAAAGAATTTAAACTTTTATTCACTCACTGATTAAAGAAGTTATTATACATTCTCTTCATTTGAAAATCTTATTAAAGTTTATAATCGTGCAAATGCTTATAATTTAAATTTCTTATTTTTATTAGTATAATAGACTGATTTTAAAGTAAAATTACATCTATATGTATAAGAGCTGTAACAATAATAAAATATCTATGTTAGGTCTAAGGATAATCTTAAGAATAACAAATGTGACAATTATTTTTTCTCTTTCTTTAAATAATCTTATAATTCTTATAAATTATAATCTAAAAATTCATAAAATATAGCAATTTTTTATACTTATTGTTCATCTAAAGAAGGTTTCTGATCAAAAAGAAAGTAGACTTCAGATATATTAACTAAATATGGTTTTAACTTTGCCATTTATTATTATACCATCAAAAAAAATAATAATTAATGGAAACGAGGGCATAATTCCATATCAAATACATGCAGAACTTCTAACATTTCTGAAACAACTTCAGTTTGAATTTTGCCTTTTTGTTTTTTTGGTGATCTTCTTGGGCTATTCAAATTTTATTAAGAATCCTCTTATTTTTATGATCGTAATTAAAATGCAGAAGGTAAAATTATCTATTCTTTTTTCTTTTTTAAAGTTCTTTCTACTTCTAATAATGTATCAAAAGATTGTCTGTTAGTATTTAATTATTAATCTATTGTAAAATAAGTGTCATTTCTAAAAAATATATCGTAACTTGAATTTGAAGATGCTTCCAAATAAGAATATGGTTTAATTGAAAATGGTTATTCTGGTTCAGATGTAACAATTGCTTTACATTTTATCTCATATTAAAAATCTAAATGACTTGTATTTATGATGAATTCATAATACATAGAAACTTCATCATATTTTGGAGTTAGAATGTAATAATTAATCTTAATGCTTTTGTATTCAATGATTTTAAGATAATTTTCATCTCTTTTTGTCGTTTTTGTTTTTTATTATTTTTTTTCTTACTTATCCTCTTCTTCTTCACTTTTTTGAATTTTTGCTAAGTATTCTTCTTATTTTTTATCATTAGCCATTAGTTCAGACTATTCAATAATATCATTACGCTCTTATTCTACATTCTCAATAATGGACATTTCTTCTTGTTCTTATACAGCCTTTTAAATTTAAGTTAAAATAACAGCTTCTTAGGTTCTTTGTTAAGATATACAACAACCCATAATATTTAGTGATTTTAAAATAAGTAAATTTATTAATAATTTGACATAAACATGTTTGGAGAATAGCAATCTATTTTATATTTTTATATTTTGAGTTAAGAAATAATCTCATTAAATCAATAAAATCTATTAGTTATTAATAATATATCCCCTCTAACCTTAACAATTTAGTATATCTAATTAAAAAATTATTTGTTTTTGATTAACCTATTTTAATTAAAAATCAGATAATTTTTACAAATTCTTTTCAAATTAAATATAAACTTAACATATATATTTCAAAATATAAGAATTTATTGATATTAATTCAAAAATATAATTAGTACTGATTGCGATCATAAATTTAAATTTATAGAATAAACTTACATATTAATTTCTCTACTATCCTTAAGAATCAATGGTGAAGGTGAAAATGTTATAAATAATTCTAATTCCTTCTTTATCAAATTATTAAATTATTTAATCCTCTTTTAGTTTTTAATAATTGATAATTCAAAAAATTAGGATAATTATATTCTATACTTATAAATTACATAATTTAAATTTGGATATTTCTTTGAAATTCAAATAGAAACCATTTTAGAATTATATTAATGTTGTTGAATATGAACTCAATAAATTAAAAAACTTAATTATCATTAAAAAGAATACTAAACTTTAATATTTATATTCTGTCATTAAAAGATTATATAATATATAATGTTATAACACATATTAAAACATAAAAATCTATAAAGAACTCTAAATCTAATTAATTTTAAAAAATGAACTCAAATACTTACCATTATTAATGTGAATCTCAATTTTATGAATAACTTTGATCTTTTAGATTAATAATAATACAAATGATTTTCTATTATATTAACTCATGTTATTTAGATATTTTAGAATTATAAAACAATAATCATAATTATAAAGAGAAAGCTTAGACACTTAATTATAATTTGGATGAAATTATATCAAATTTGTTGTAAAAAAACATTGATTTGAAAAAAAATAGATTTTTTCAAGATTATATCAAGTAACTAAATAATAAACTTAAAGATTGATTGAAAGACTTGATTTGAATTTAAAAAAATTCTTTAGGATACCAATTGTTAAGAAAGGAATTGAAATTAATTTATTATACAATATTAATTATATACAGTTATGAAGAGTTCTTTTAGAAAGAGGGATTGTCCGTTCTGTTAAAAATTAAAATGTTCAAAAAATGTGAAACATTTATACGCATATTTAATAAATAGTGTATCATTCATTAAAGATTGAGAAGGCCTTGTACACTAAATATTCATAATAAAAAGTGAAAAAATTTGAGGACTTTTTTTCAACAAAACCAGTTAAGTGGGTCATAGATTTCAAAGATAATTTAAATATAAAGGAGAATGAGGAGTATTTAAAAAAGTAATTCAATTTATTAATATGAATATAGATATTATCCAATTACAATATAATCTAACAAAATTAAACAATTAGTAGAGTATTATAAATATCATAAAGATATACCAAGAATGTTTTTTGGATTCCTTGCAGATATGGCTACTTATTTTTATGAGAAAAAAAAGTAATAAATCTTAAAATATTAGAAAATATGAATATAGAAGAATTAAAATATAACTAGGAATACCATATGAATAATCCAGTATAAGTACATGTATTGAATTTAAAGTAATAAAATAGAATATGAAAAATTGAATGAAGATATTCAAGTATTGAATAGTATAACAAAGATTAGTGAGAAATCTGCAAAATCTCTTCTTAGATAAATCATTAAATTCTAAAAGGATGATGATTATATTGTAATTACATTATTTAATATTTTAGAACATAGATGAAACATGGTTAACAATGCAATAATAAATTTAAACAGAAAAAAATAATTAAAAATAACTAACAAAATTGCCATCTTAGAATTTGAAATTATTAAAATAATTAGTCATAAGAAACAATTAAATAAATAAAGATAAATTAAAATTAAACTTACCATTTCATTTGATCAATGGAAAAGTCTTAAAAAATATTAGAAATTCTTAAAAATAATCTCCTGAATTGCCTCATCCTTCATAAAAATCATCATCATAATAACATATTAATAGTAGTTAAGAAGAAAATGAATTCTAAAAATTTATGAAAGCCAAGATAATAAAATTATCTTAAGATAATAAGATTAAAATTCAAAAAATAATATCTAATAAGATTGATTAAAACAATCTTAATACTAACTAAGCTAAACATAGTAGTGCTCACTTTATTACAAGTACTAGAAGTGTTTCATCAGAATAATTGAAAACAGATTAAATGCGTTTAAGTTAAATTATCAATACTGGTGGAAATAATTAAAGTTAGCCTAAATTATTTAATTACATTACACCAGTACATAAAAAATCTAATTCACAGTAATCATTATAAACAGAATTCACACCAGCTAAAAAGGATTCAAAACTTATTAAAATTTACTCTAATAATTTTAGTAGCAAAATAAAAACATAACCTAAAAAGACTCCAGAAAAATTAAGATAATTTTATAAAGCAAGTGCTTTAACATCTCAGAATAGTTCTTAAAAGAATCTTATGAAAAATCTCGACAAACTTTCCTCTTTTTAACAATTTAAAATTATGTTAGAGAGTCCTCATCCAAAATAAAAAAAAAAATTATAATTACATAATACAGATACAATTAGATTATAAACAGAATATAAATAAACTACAAAAAGACAATCTATTACACTAACTCATAATAAAATTAATGGCAAAATTGTGATGAAAAAGTAATGAAGTTTTTGTAGAAATTAAATAAATATACATATCAACACACTTTTTTATTTTAATTTCCTTCTTTAAAATCTTATCTAAATTTAATATTCGATGGACTATTCATTTTATTTTTATAAGATTATAATTCTTTTTCAAAAATTTAACTTGAAATGGGAACATGCCTACATTATTCTTTCTAAAATTAATAAAATATATAGAAATACTATAAAATTTATTTATCGATGTTATGAACTAGGATTTTATGGAGTGTAAATTTAATCTTTATTCAATTTTTTACTATAATTTTTATTATTTTATTTAAGAGGTTATTAATTTACTGAATCACTTTCAAATTTTTTAATATCAAAATCTTCTATTTGAAGTTTGATCATATTTTATAATTTTTCAATTTAATTTTATAAGGATATTACCAAAAGATTAGACTATTCTAATTATATTTATTAACTTTAAAAGTTGTTTTTTAGATCCATTATTTCTGTTTCTTTATTTTTTAACATTTTATTCAACTTAGCTTCAGATTCTTATTATTGATCTTTATAAGTGTTAAAAACATTAACAAGTTAATTATAAGAATTTTCACTCATAAATTAATCAGAGATATTCTATTCTAGTAAATTAATAGTTTTTCTTAATTGAGCTATACATTATTTTTAATTATCAATAGTGTATTATTGATCAGACAAACTTTTTTCTAAACTTTTTACTTATGATTAGTTTTGAAGTTCTTCATTTTATAATTTTAATAAATTAAAATCTTTTTTTTCTTCTAAGAGTTAAATTTACAATCGAGTGATCTCTTATTTTTAATTATTAAGCTCCACTCTTAATTATTTGACTTCTATATCATTATGAAAAGTCTATGAATTTTTTAGAGATTCTTTTAGTTTTTATGATTCTTTATTATATTATTCTATCTGTATATATAGATTTTCTAACTCTTATTGTTATTAAATATTTGTCTCCATAAGATCTTTATTCGTTAGCAACAATTCTTCAATTCTTTTTGATTACTCTTCTACTTGATGTTAATATGATATTTTTATATTTTATTATTATTCTCTATTTTCTTAGAAATGAACTTCACTTGAATTTAATTTTAAAGTAAGTTCATTTATCAAATTTACTTTTTTTTTAAGAATATCATTTAGTTTTTCAATTTCTGCTAGAAATGCTTCTATTTAGACTTTTTTAAGCTGTAGATTTATAATATAAACTTACCCCTTTATCATTTTAAACATTTGCAGGAGTGTATGTTTTTGCAGTACAAAAGTTATCAGCTGTAATTCTGCAAGGTGAAATAGATCCAGTTTATGTATGAAATTGCTGACGCTTAAAATTGGAAGACTAGAAATAAAATTGTGCAATTTACACAGGTATTTTGAAAGTCTGAGGATACTTTTGTTTTCACTTTTCTGTTGGAATACATAGGTAGACAAAATAATTAATTATTTAACAACTAATTTTTACAAATATTTTCTGTTAAATGAGCTAGGAATCAATTTTAGATTTTACAATCTTTATTTAATTATATAATAAAATAGATATTAGTTATGTTAGTATAAATAAGTTATTGATGAAACAATATTATTAATATACCTTATAATAAATAATTTTTTTATATTATCTAATGTAAAAGAATACCTTAAAAATTGAAATAAAGTAAATTAAATATACATAAGTATTTATGATCCAATTTAAATTAATTCACACCTTTTAATATTGATATATATATTAATATAATTATTTATTAATGAACCAATAGTCTATAAAATATCTGATCACTCAAATTAGAAAGGTGAACAATTAGGAAGACAAAACAATTGGAGAAGTATTAAATGATATTAAAATTAATAAAAGTTTTTATAATTAGTTCGATAAATGTATGATGTAAAATAGAAAGGGGATTGTATGAATTTAATATCTAGTGGTTTTACAAGTGTACTTTTAGAAATAATTTTCAAAGTATTTTCATTATTTTTGAAATATAGTTGAATGTTATAGATGAAAATGATAGAATGGAAGCATTTTTATTTTATAGGGATCTATTACAATATGAATTTTAAAATGCAGATCGATAATTAAGAAAATCAGATGATTAATTGGAATCATATAGACTAATCAAATTATTACCTAAATAACTATATGAAGTATTCTAAATGTTCATTAAATATAGCTTTTTTTGGATGATGGAGATGAAACAGCCATTTTTAGTAATTTTTCTAGAGAATGGAATACACCTAATTTGGTATGGACTTAAACAATGATGAAAGAAATGTTGCTTATTTATATTGAGTATACAAATGGTATATTTTAGATATAATAATCAAATTTTGAAAAAACCTTCTAACGATTATGCATAGATTTTCCCTATAAATTCACCATTGTATATTTATATGATTAATTAATAGATTTCCTGAATAAAGAAATGAAACCTTTGTTGAAAATATGATGCTTAAAGAATATAATTTATAACCAAATTGGTAAACTGATGAAGGACTTATTGTATTTATGAATGAATTAATTGAATCAATCAATTAGTCACTTCGACTATATTTGGAAGGAAATTTCATTAATTCTGAATCATCTATAAAGTAATTTGAGAGATTATCTTGTAAATTATTAACTCAACTTACTTCATTTGAATTAGCATTAGAATAGTTTTTTTTCAATTCATCACATCCTGAATTCGAAAATGAAATGAAATTATTAGAAGATTATGATTAATCTTAAATCAATAAATTATTATAAGAATAAAGAGATACTATTCCTATAATGATTGTAAAGAGTGTTTAGAAATGGTTAGAATTAATAAATGTAGATCATATTGTTATTAACCCTTTAATTAAATCTTGCTTAATTTAAATTCATTATATTTTATCATAATCAGAAGTAGCTTTAGTTATTCTAGATGAAATTGATATTCTACATAAATCTTTGAATATTTGTCTTAAAATTATTAATAGTCAATAACATAAATGTAATATTATAATTATATTAATAAGATGATAAATTGTTAACATTAGTGACAATATGTGATATGATCACTTTCAAATTTTTGATTTCAAAATTAGACTCAAAGCATTTCAATTAAATAATTTCAATCTATTAAACAGTTATTAAAGATGATTAAATGATAATTAATGCTTTTAAAAATTTGATTGCATTAATGTATACAGATTCTTCTGTTGCTGGTGATTTTAATAAATATCTACTTTAATAGAGTGTACCAATCTAATCAAGTGATTTAAAGATATTATAAAATAAAGAATTTAATAAATTAAATTTATGGAGAAAATAATTTGATGAAAATTACAAAATTCCTATTTATGAATAATTATCTAAATCTACTAAAGAATATCCTGTATTTCCTATAATTTCAGAATGTGCACTTTAATAATTACCACATAAATCTGAAATTCTAGAGAATAGATTGAAAATGATAGAAAAATATTATGATGAATATATTTTCAATTTGTAATAAGGAAAAATAATTGAAATAAATATGAATTTAAATTCGCAATATGAACCTTAAACAGAGTAAATTTCCCTTAGACAATCCTCAATTGTAAAGGAATAATCAGATGATATATTGATAGGTGAAGATGAAATATTTTCATGAAAATCTAAATTCATCATATTTTACAAGTACTATAATTGTTTTTTCTTTGGTTTTATTTTTAATAATTCTCTGTAGTAGAATTCAACTAAGATAATAACATTTGACTACGCTAAATCAATAGCAATTCTTTTTAATTAATATCTTAAATAATTCTTTTAGGATCATTTACTTCTACTTAATCTTCTTATTGGGTTTCTAAATTATTTATTAATTAAATATAATACTTGATCTAAAATGTTTATTTAATGTTTTTTATTTTGATTCTGAAAGAGATCTCTCAAATTCTTAAACATTTTTAGAATTTATTTTTGGTAATCCATCATTAGAATCATTCAATTATTCAATTCTAACTTTTATCTCTTATCTATAATTATATAATATATACTGACTTTTAATTTTGAAAATCTTGTATATTACTTGTTTTTGATGCCAATTTTGCTGGTTTCATTTTAGAACCCTTTTAAAGTTAAAAATTCATTTAGTAAGCATCTTTTGGAATATTTGAAGGTATACTCTATTTGTATTTTACTTTATTCATTTTATTCTTTATTTTATCTTATACTTCTGTTGGTAGAAATCCCATACCATTAAATAGAAAAGTTTAAGAAATATGATCATTCTTTGTTCTAAAAATATTATTAATCTTTTTAAAATTTTCAATTTCTAATGATAAATATTTAACAATTTCATTTGTTTTTAATAATTCTCTCCTATAACTATCTAATAAATATTCTTTTGATTTAGCTTACTATAATTAATCTGTAGTTTATTTTATAAAGGAATCATGATCCATTTATTATTCTCTTAATTTTTTCCTTTCTTATATAAGTTATTCCTAATCTAATTTATGTTAATTATTTAAATTTTCAATTTCTTATTTATGAATTAATTTCAAATTTTCATTTAAATCTAAAAGTCTTTTTAATTCTATTGCATTTTCACTCTATAATTATTAAATATCATCTTGAAATTTCTTTAAGAGTTGTAGTTATTCTTAATCTTTTTATTATAATTTTAAATTTAAATCTTCTATTAATATTTCATATAATTATTCTGATTCTTCATAGCTTTTAATTCTTTAGTCTTTTTCATTAATTATTTATTCTAATTAAATAATCTATTAGTCTTTCTTTAATAATTCTTATTATAATTATTATTCAAATTCTCTTTTTAATTAATCAATTTATTATTCATGTTTAAGCTAAGAGATTTTCATCATATCTTACATATCACTAATCTCATCTTAATTACACTTCAATTTAAATTCATACTCTTCTTAGAGTCGAATAATTTCATTTTTACACTTAATCAATTATGAATCTGAAGTATATTAAGAAGATATATTTTAACTATTTTCAATGAAATCACATTAAACACTAAAGTCATTCTAAATAGTCCATACTCTTTAAGTAGTTTATAAGGATTTATTGTTTTAAATGATTGCATTTGATAATACATCATTATTTCTATTATTTGATGATATTTCATTAGAAACTATTTTTATTATTTATATCTATTAAATAGGTTAATCATCTATTGAAGATTATCTACTTCTTTAATTAATTGATTGTATAATCTCTTGTCGATTGTTTTCAACATATTATTCTATTGTTGTTTCTTCAAATACAAATTCATCTTTTTATATAGAAGTCCTTTTATGAGAAGATTAAACTGCTGATTCAGGATTGCTTGTTTATTTTATTGGTTCTCTTTATTTAATAATCTACCTTTATTATTAATAACTTTTTTATTATTATTATAATTTATCTGGAGATGAACTTTTATTCGTAGAACTCTATTTTCTAACATTTTCCCTTGTACCTGGTTAAGTTTTATCTTATTTCAATCTTTTGATCTATTCACTAATTAGATATAAATTAATACTTTAATTAATCAATTAATATGTCTTTTTAAAGGAGTTTGGAATCCTTTGCTTTAATTTATTCATCAAATAAAAAGACTTTATATTTATGATCTTATACATCCTTTTCTAAACTAGCAATATATGGCTAATATTTATCAATTTAAAATTGTAGGATTTTATTTTTTTCTATATATTACAAAGATTAATTTTTATAATCTTAACATTCCTCTTTAATTTTTTAGATTTAATTATCCATTTTTATTCTTTATGATTAAATCTTATATTCATATTCATTTATTAATTCCATTTTAACTTCATTCAATTTAGTACTGAATACTTCTAATTATTATAAATAAGATCTTCTTTCAATCTCAAATTTTTCTAATTAATCTTACTTTTCAAATTTCACTTAAGCAAGTTCTGTATTTAATTTTAATGTTTTAATTTCCAATTCCTCTTTATAATATTTATGTATTTTTTATTCATTCAATTTTACTTACATAATTTATGAATTGAGATCTTCTATTTTCATAAACTAAAATATTTATGTATTTATTATACAAGATGATTTTATCGTTGTTCATAAATCAATTTTTATTATTTATGATATTCAGCCAACTATCGATTCTAATCTATTAATTATTATTTTTCAATGAAATATCTTTCAGTCTCTTATTACAACTTTTCTTTTAATTATTTTATATTCAATTAAAATTCTACTTTTGTATTATTGTTATCTATTATAATATGATTTAATCGAATTATCTCCTCTTTTTATAAATACAGTAATACCTTCTAACAGATCACATATTTATTTAAAATCTGCTACTGCTTTTATTAATACTCTATCTTCTCCATTTGGACCTGTATCACTAATAAGATTAGCTAATTATAATTTGCGTTCTTCCATATAGAAATTAAGACTGATAACATGTTGTTTTAATTTAGTGTTCTCATTAAAAAGAGGCTGTATAACTATTACTATATACTTTCATTTGTGCTTAAAATTGAGATGCATTCAATTCTAAAGCTTTAATTTTATGATTGGTGATTTCGTCATCATCATGAAATTTAGTTAAAGTGTTCATATTTAATTTATATAATTTATAACTACTAAACATAATTTTACTATTGATGAATCAAATATTTTTATTTTCTTCTTTTACTAGTTTAATTATTGCTTAAATAAAAGCTATGACACCATCATATTCCTTCTCTAAAATGGAATTATCTAATTCTAATTATTGTAAGACAGAACTTCGTTCTCTTCCTTTTAAAGCTAAACATAGTTGATCCAAAGCTTATTAGAATTATGGACTTATGAGATTATCTTTAAAATATTGTATATTTTATTGATCAATCGGTAAATATCTAAGCTAACATTCTTTAATACTCTTTCAAAGCTTCAAAATAATCCTAGTCTTATATCACAGAAAACAGGAATTCACTAGTTAATATATCACTTAATGATAGGTCTTATTTAGTATGTCTATATAATTGCTACTGAAATAGTTCTAATAACTATTATTAATTAATATTTATTAAAGGTTATAGTTATTAGTTTTCAAATTATCTATTTTAATTAGCAACAAATTCTGGCTACTATTAATTTAATGGAATTTATGCCTCAAATTCTATTAGATTATCAATTATTTATGAATCAACAATCGCTTTGAACTTATCTATATACATTTCATCTTAATTAACATCTTCATTCTTTATTTAAATTAGATATTATATTACTTGCATCCAAAAAAAATACTTTGAATCTTCATCTGTAATCTTAAGTAAATAAACTCTATGTTATCCTTTAACTTTCTCAAAAATTGTTGTTCCTTTAAAAATCACTCTTTCCTAATTATTGTTTATTTATTTACAAAATCTAATCTTCTATTTTGATCCAAATTATACCATTTGAGCCATAATTCATTTTCATCATTCAATATTAAATTTAACAAACCTTTATCTTTTTACATTACTACTTTTCTTGTCTCCTGATTAAATTCATATCTTCCACAAGGAATGTTCACCTCTTAATTCATAACTTATAATTATATATAAATCTAAAATTATTATTAAAATAGTAATTTATTATGAAATTAGTGTTTCAAATGACCTTGAATTTGTTTTTCTCATTTTAAGATTATTTCTTTTTAGGATAACTCTAAAGTCTATATGATCAAATTAAAACTTTAATTTATTATTTATTTTATCAACCTCTAGCTGTTTTTTATGGATTTTGCTTACTTTTTTATCTTAATTCTCCAAGATAATCATATATACTTAGCTTTGAGATATAATACTTCTTAATAAGTACTATTATTCCAAAAACTTATTCATATTTAATTGTGTAAAAAAGAAAGCTTCCTTATTTAAAATATAAATTAGTCAATATTGTTGAATTATCTCAAATGAGAAAATATATGTGTTCTTTAAATTTTACCAATATTCATTAATAAGAATATGCTCAACCATCTGATTATATTAGATTTATTATATTCTCCATAATTATTTTATCATCAATTATTTACTATTATACTAGTTTAAATAAATGAATTTTCATCAGTATATGTAATTAATTTCCAATTTGAAGATTGTTTAAGCTATAAATTATTATTGTTAATATTAAATATACTTACTATGACTAGTTTAATATTTAATAAAAAATAAATAGAATAAATATTGTTGTATATATAATATTAACTTGAAAAAAACAATTAGTTTATATCAATTTAAAATAGATTCAAAAATATAATAAATTATTATTATCATTAAAAATGTTAAGTTTTATGAAATATCAATATCGAAATACTATGATATTGAATAATTCACTTTTTCTTATTAGAAATTGAATTATACAGTAAATGTATTATTGAAAGTAAAGTAATTTAGAATCAGTTCAATAATAATGGTAATTACTATTGTATATATATTTTATACTGAAATCAGGATTCTAAAATCTTTCATTTTAATTTATAATTATTTATAAATAAATTAAAATGGGTCAAGAGCAATCAAAATTATTTAAGCGCTAACCTTGTACCTTACAATATAAATATGATGAACATGTAAGAACTAATCTAATAACAATAGGATGTAATATTGAAATTTGACCCAAAAATAAAAATGGGATATTAAAAACCTTTACGTTTTTAAGAAATTGTAAATATAAATCCAGCATTACGAGATTTGGACTAAGGTAAAATTAAGTGTTTTTAATATAGAGTTCCTAATATAACTGCAATATTTACATGAACAAGCACTTAAATAAATCATTTTTAATAAATTAAAGAAATGTGATGATTTAATAATACTGTACTAAGCTACTAAATTCATTGTCAATTGTACTTCAAATGAATGTCTCGAACTTATTAACACTTTTAATATTATTAATATTTTAACTTAAAAGTAAGAACAGGACCTGGATAAATAAATATTAATTATTATTATCATACACAATATTGTTGGTAAACTACCCTCTATTACTTTGGAATAATAACATATATCCTGGCTCATTAAACACATGAATCCATATAATACTTTAAATGTTGCTTTAATATTATAGATATTAGCAGATATTTGTGTTAATCAAGATAAATGTATTGAGAATATCATAGAAATACTAAATAAACTCAAAGATGAAGCAAAATGGAGATTTGCCACTGAACCCATATTTAAAATCATGGAAGTTTAATAAAACTTATATTTAATAAGAGATGCATGCACATTTATAAATGCGTTAGCAGAGACTCATTCTGATGACGAAATTTGTGAATTGATTAAATAATAAATATAACAATATGGTCTAACGGTTATATATGATGATGTAAAATTAAAACTCAAAAATTAAGAATATCAAATAGATCATTGTTCTTATGAGCATTTCATGTAATTCTTTTATGACTAAAAGTAAATTCCTCATTATTCTCAAGTTGATAACTATTATTTTAATAATCTTTATGATTTTGATCCCAAAAAGCCATTAATATTTAAATATGGATATTTTGATGAGATTTTTAATACAGACCCACACTATTTTGAAATACAAAAAAATTAACTTTAAGTTTAATTGGATGTTTATGATTAATTCATTTAGCCAATCTTTAATCTAAATAAAACAATATTAGAAAGATAAAATCCATTGTTTATATCTACTATAACCAAAAAAGGAAGTGAGGAAGGTATAGTTAATGCTCTCAAAGGATTGTGGGATAGTAAAGGAACTGAAACAACAAATTAATAAATTATATTGAATGCCATTAAAAAAGCAAATTCATTACTTGAAATATAAGAATTGCTTATTAAATTAAATGAAGAATCTTCTGGAGTTACTGTTCTCTCTAGATTGATTGATTTATTGACAAGAAAGTTCGATCAGATTATGGCAGATCAAAAGAAAAGAGATTAAATGAGAAAAGACAGAGAAGAAGGATATAAATAATAAATTGTAATCTCTATTTATATTTTAAATTTTAGGCTTATTTACAATTAGAAATTAAACAGAGAAGTACACAAGAAAATTAAAGAGACTTAAAAAACCTTAATGAAAAACTAAGTCTACTTATTGAAGAAAATTAAAAATTATAAGATCAAAGCTAATAATACTCATAACTCAAAAATAAATTCTAAGATATGAATGTTTAATTGTTAGAAGCTTAGAAAGTAATGGCTAAAGCATAATAAGTTGCAGAATTAGAATCAAAATTAGAAGAGTATGCAAGTGAAATAAATCGATTAAAAACAACTCATATTCAACCTTAATTATGTAAAATATAAGCATCAGATGGAGGTTCTGAGCCTCCACCAAATCCTTCTGAAAATATTACAACAGTTTAAAAAACCTCTTAATAGGTTGCTCCACCACCACCTCCTCCACCTCCATAGGCTATATCTACTAACAATAATTCAATGCTTCCACCTCCTCCTCCACCACCACCTCCTCCTCCTCCAGGTGGTAAGATTGGAGCTCCACCTCCACCACCACCACCACCTCCTGGAACTAAATCTGGTGGTCCTCCTCCACCACCTCCTCCACCTGGTGGAAAAGCTCCTCCTTTACCAAATACAAAATCTGCAGTACCAACAAAACCTAAGTGTAAACCAACAGTTCCAATGAAAGGATTAAGTTGGAATATTTTAAAACCAGATTAAATTGGAAATTCAGTATTTTAAGGAATGAATGAAAATGAAATTAAATTTGATGTTAAGTCTCTAGAAGAGAAATTTGCTTCTAAACCAGTTAAATAAATGCAATAAAGCATTGGTGTAAGTGATAAAAAAAAAGAAGTATAGAAAATAAGTTTATTGAGTGGGGAAAGAACAAAAAATATAGAACTTATATTAGGTAAATTAAGAATGAGTAATGAAAAAATAAAGAATGCTTTATTGGAATGTGATAAATCTGTCTTAAATTTAAATGTGATAGAATCTTTATTAAATGTTGTTCCAAGTGATTAAGAAAAATCATTGTATGCAAATCCAGAAGAATTAGATAAAGAGACTTTATAGTTATCAGATCTATTTTACTTAGAGTTATGTTAGGTTCCTGCTCATGGAGATAGAATGTAGGCTATTAAGGCTGATTTTTTAGGAATGGATATGTGTAATGAATGTAGAGGAAAATTAAAACAATTAAAAAAGGGATTTGAATTTTAGAAAAATGATGAGCCATTTAAATTATTGATAAAATGCACATTAGCTATAGGTAATTATGTAAATGGTGATTCTGCAAGAGGAGGAGCTTTTGGTTTTAAAATAGATGCTATAACAAAAGCAGCAGATATAAAGAGTGCGGATGGAAAAGAAACATTATTAATGAGTATTGTATAAGAATGTGAACAAATTTATGAAAAGTAAGGAAAGGGATTATTTTTTTCAAATGATCGGATGGATCTTTTAGACTTTATGTGTAGATTACCTGTTTCATAGATGATTATTGATATAAATGAAATAAAGAAGGTGTAAAAGTTTGTTTAGAATGCTATTAAGAGTTAATCTAAGTATCCTAATGATAAAGTAAGTAAATTTGAAGAATTATCATAATAACTTTTATTAGAAATAACAGATTTATCTTAACTACTATCTACATGTGAATAATTATACTCTGATTTATGTATATTTTATTGTGAGAATCCAAAAACATTGTAAAGTGATGTATTTTTCTAATCTATTTAAACAGTTTGGAATAATTGTATAAAAGTATATAATTTAATATTTTAAGTCAAAACAATAAATAGAAAAGTTATAATAAATGAAAATTAAAGAAGAATAAAGGAATAAATTAGACTAACAGAAGAAACAACAATAACAAATGACAAATTAGATTAATATGAATGAATCATTGCCAAAAAGAGTAGGTGCATTACAATAGTTATAATAATCATTAACAATTGATGCAGTTAATTAATTAAGAATGATGAAATAAAGTAAGAATGAAAATAATTGATTATGTGTATTTATATAATGTTAAAATACTCTATTCATTTATGAATGTCTATATGAATTTTGAAAGCATTCTATTCAAACAGAAAGAATTTATTGTTGGTTAGATATTATAAATATATTAGATTATATAATATTAGAGAAGTTGATTATTAATTTATGTTATATAATTTTAAAGAATATTTTACGATTTATTAGGAACATTTGAGAAACAGAGATTAATGGAGATTATTAATGGTTTTAATCTCTATTTATTAAATGTGTGATGTAATAATTGTTACAGGAGATGCCATAACTTTAAAAATTTAAGGCGACAAATACATTTTGATATATAGAATCTTGGTAATATAAATTGCCATTATAGACCCAAATATTTTTGATTGCGTTCTTCGAAGTGCTACTATTAAAATTAATCAAAATAAAAAATGGATTCATAAATCTGGTGACCTTACTAAAACTTATATGTGTAGTCATATGTTGGGAAGAGCTTGATTATTATGCAGAGTAACAAATATTTCAAAGAATACTGGATAAATTTCTAATTCTTGTGTTCTTTGTTTTTGCAATAGAATCATAAGTATGTTAAACAATAGCAATTATTTTCAATCTGATTTATACATTGTTAAGGAATTTTGAATTCGATTCTAAATTGAACATAATATTTGGAATAAAATTAATTGTGTTTCATATCATTCTTTAATTCTTAATGATCATGTTTAATAAAAAGAACATTAGAAATAATTTAAATTCTTAATTAATAGCTATGGGCTCTAATAATAAACTGATTTATACTTAATTGAATTCTTAGAGAATATCAAATCCAAATAGAACTCTTCATCAATTATATATAGATATACCTGAAAATAGAAATATATCACAAATACCATAAGAATAAAAATAAGAGGATTAATAAACAGAATCAGTTCAATAAGATTAAATAAATGAAGCTATACTTTCTTCAGCAGAACTTGGAATTTATTTGGTAGATAGTTAGACTAAAACAGTGTAAGTGATAAATCCATAATTATCTAATATTATAATGAAAGAAGATTAGTTAAGTACTTAGTTTCTAGAGACTGAATTATACGATTTTGGATTGTTACTTGAAGAATCATGTTTATTATTGCCAAAATTTCATAGAAGTTAAGATATTGGACAGTTTCTAACATTCACTTAAAATTTAGAGTATTATATAAGTTAATATTGTTGAGTTCCATCTATTTTAGATAATAATATTGAAAGTGAACCTTCTCAAATTAAGCGATTGCAATTATTAACCAAAAAAATATCTTTTAAAGTATTTTTCGATAATTTAATTGCTTACAATCATTTGAAATACTCAAACAATCATTCCCTTATAGACTTTTCCCTTAAAATATATATTAAATTCGATACTTGTTATTTACAAGTTGTTTTATCACCATTAATCTATAAACTTAAACCTTAAATAGCTATTTTCGTTTCTGACATTACTGAAGATCCTTATATTACATAATTATTAAATGCTACTAAAAACAATGATTTTTTGATTAATGATATTTCACAAAAGATTAAACAACCTCTTAATTGTACAATATCTATGTTAGAAATTATTATGGTATTTATATTATTAAATATTATATAAGAATACAACTCCATAAGAAATAAAAGAAAAATATATAAGTCCAGCACTTGCTGGTTGTAAATTATTAATTAATACAGCTAATGATATTCTAGATTATGCTTAGTTACAAAAGAAAGATAAATTAGATTTAGTTTAAATGGATGTTTAGATATAAGAATTTTTGACTGATATCATTAATGTAGTAAAATCTTAAGCAATTTTCAGAGGATTAAAAATATCTATTAATGTTAAATAGAATGTTCCATAATTTATTAGAACTGATCCAAATAGATTAAGATAAATATTACTTAATTTATTAGTAACTTCAATATAAGCAACAGTTCGTGGATCTATAATATTTTGTGTTTCGAAAAGTTAAATGCTTAATGAACATATTGATTTTGTTGTAAAAGTAAAGGCAAATGAAACTAATTTCTCAATTCTTAAAATAATTGAGAGAACAGTGAGATTTTTTAAATCATAAACTTTAAAGTCAAAAATATTAGATCTTGGTAATCTTAGATAGTATTCATAATCAATTTTGATTTCATTTTATTTAACAAAATGTCTATCACAAATTCCATTTGAATATAATTATGAACGTGTTGGTAATAAAGAAGAATTTAGTTTTGTCATAAAAATATAAAATTTATATCCATAATTTAATCAAAATTTGAATTAAAAAAGATTATCAGAATTCACAAATTAGTAAAGTTTTTATTAATAGTATCAAAATAAAGAAGGCTTAAAGAGATATTAATCTTAAATGTCAAGTTTATAACCAGAAGATCCAAATATCAAAATTGAACTTGAAGAAGCTAGAAAAAAATTAAATATCAATATTATTTAAACATAAGGTCAAGTATCTAAAGAATAATAAAAAGAAATTTAAGAATAATCAAATGAATCAGATGAAAGTCTTTCTGATTTATAAGATGATGAAGTATCAATAGAATCAAAGAATGGAATTTCAAATAGAGTAGAATAAATGTTAAAAATTAAACCATACTTTTTTGATTATGTTAATGAAACACAATAGAAACATGAAGGATCAAGTTCTTAACCATCTCAATAACTTACATTTGGAGGTTTAGGATAAGGTAGATCCTCAATTTATTCTTCTTTATGTTTTACTAGTGGAACTATGTAACCTAATGATTTATTGGATTGTTTTGAGAAAATGGAAAAAATTAAATAACAAAAAAATAAATCTAATTGTAAAGTATTATTATTGTTTTTAATAATTAGTGTACTAAAATATTGATATGTGAAAGTATCGATCTTGATCTATATGCTTTATCACATTAATTAACAAATATAGGAATTACATATGAGTATATAACTTAAAGATCTCAAATTGTGAGCACTCTTGTTAAATTATTAAATAGTGATTTGTAATAATAGTAAAATAGTAATTAATAAAAGTAGAATATTGATAATCAATAATTAAAAATCATTAATGATAATTAATAGCTGAAGAACAATGAAAATTAACCTTGTTGTAAAGGATTATAACTTATATTCATTGCCATTGAATAATTTGATGAAGAACTATATGCTTTATTTAATTAAATAAAAGATGTATATGCAGAATTTAAAGCTGAACCTAGAATTATAGGATTGATTGGTTGTATGGATGAAGAAAATAGAGCATAATTAAGAAGGCTTCCTTTTCATGATTATTTATCAAAACCCATAATGATAGATGCCCTTCTCTTTATCTTAGCTAAATGGATTAAAATGAATTGATAATATATTTAAATATGTTTAATAAATGGTTTAAACCTACCATCCCAATATTGAGAATCAATTCAGGTATTGATCATAATAGTGCTAAATTGGTTGAAGAATCCTTAAAGCCACTTACTAGAATGAAAGCTTTAGCAGTTATAATAAATTCTAATGGAGGTTTACTTGTATAAGGAGAATTAATGAAAAAGAAAATAGAATTATTTGCTAAAACACATAAAATACCTCTTTATACATTTGCAGAAGATTCTGCATTATCAGCTGGATATTATTTATTATCAATTGGAAATAAGATATTTGTTGATGAAACATCTTTAGTTGGTTCAATAGGAGTATTATATTTGAATCTGAAAATTGAAAAGTTAACCAGAAAATTAGGTTTTGAACCTAGAAAGTTTTCTTCAAATAAGTAAATTGATTTTAGACTATATATGTAAATAGAAAGCTTTTCCAAAATTATACAGGTTTTAATGATGAAAGAAATGAGGAAATGGAAAGAATAATAAAGGATTAATTTGGAATAATGAGATAATAATTTTTTGATCATTGTGATAAATATAGACCACAATTATAAAAATAAGATAGTGATGTTAAGGATTTAATTTATAATGCTAATATATTTACTGGGATAGAAGCTATTAAATATGGGTAATTGATTAGCCAATATAATTGATAGATTGGCTGATGAAATTGGTAATTTTGAGGAAGTGTTAAATCGTTTACATCCTGATTGTCAATTAAGAGATATTACTAGAATTCCACTTGCTTAATATTATATAATGAAGTAATAGTCATAATGAGTTTAATAAAAATTTCACTGTGGAACATTATATTAATCAATTATTATTTGAGATACTGTCAAAATATTTAGCATTCCTCTTTCTATTCTTATTTCTTCTTACTATTAGGTTATTACATAATTTGGCTTTATTTAATTGCTTATTAATTCATTAATTCAGGTAAATTACTACCTCTAAAGATTTATTCATAATTGGAGAAATCCAATTAAGTAAGAGCTGATTTTTATTCAGCATCAAGCATAGGTAAATTAGCTAAGAATTCATCAATTTATCTTTAAATATCTTCTAACTCATCTTTTGATTTTTATGCTTTATTTGTAGTTTCCTATAATTTAATTTATTTAATATCGACATTCTAAGTTTTTTGGATATTTGATTATTTAAGTTCAATTTTTTATGTTTCAATTTCTTGTAGTTGTAATAATAATTAATTTTTTTTAAATGTAGCTTCAATGATATCCTCATCAAGCTTTTAAATCTTTTATTCAGAAGCATTTGTTCCTTAATTTTAATGAAGTTAATTCTTATATTAATATAGTTATTGTCTTCTATTTATTAATTCAACATTAGCAGATTCCAAAGATATGGCTAGCTCTTCTTTTTATTTTTTAGCACTTAGAATTAGAATACGTTCAACAAATATACGTTCACAATATTCACATACAGGATGAAGAACTTCCTCTTTTAATTTTCTTCTCTTTACTATACAATTAGAACAAGTGGATTTTCCACAAAAATCACTAATTTTAGAAACAAGTCTTACCAATGATTTTGAAGTTCTAATTCATCATCACAAATATGACAGACTAATTTATTATCAAATTCAATTGCTATCTTAGGTTCAGGATACACAATCTATTCATTCAACATTTAATATATATTTATAATTTCCTGAATTATTAAAATTAAATGATCAACTCAAATTTGTTCAGCAAACCTAAATAGAGATAAATCTATTTAATTTATGCATCCCGTAATCATACATAACCAAAATCAACTCCACGAACTCATCTTAAATTACCTAATTGTTCTCCTAGAATTAATGATAATAAATCCAAAAAAAATAATAGCTTTTATATTCATAAAATGCAAAGATCATAATAACAAAGTCCTGTTGTTAGATAATAAATAAGAAACAGAGATTCAAGTGAAAGCTTTATGAGAGATTTAGAATTGTCTGGTAATGAAGATTTGAAAGACATTAACAAAAGTCTGTTATTAACTTCTTAAGAGATTAACAAAAAGATGCAATTTAATATAGAATCATACTTAAATAATACTCTAAAATCAAAAAGAATCAATCAAAACCTTAATCATATGATTGATTTTGATTTGACTTAAGATAATAATTCAATTCATTCCTTTGAATTCTCGAGAAGTCGTAGAGAAACTCCTCTTCAACCAATCAGAGTTTATTATAAAAAGTGATCATATTTTGTGTAATATATTACTCATAGCTTCATAAATTATTCATATTCTAAGAATAACGGAGTAGTATCATAAGAAAGGCTAGCTGTTTGCCTAGATTCAAACTCAAGTTTCTATAATTAAGTAGCATTTTGAATCATTAAATTTGTGAGAGGATCCTCCTTGAAATAATTTAATTATTGAATTTAAGCATTAAATATTTTTTCTAAAGCAATTTAAGAATACTAATCTTATTAAGTCTACATTAAAGTTTGAATATTTTCAATATTCTTTAGTAATTTATGGATCTACTTATTTATAAATTTATTTTTATTATATTTACTATTGTTTTATTAATTCTACAATTCTATTTTTTTTATATCATTTCTATCCTATTAGATAGATTTATGAATAAATATGGGTCCAACATTCTCACAAGATACCTTATTCTCATTCTTTATACTTGGTCTTTTAGGTGGTTATGACTATTGTCTTTTTAAATTAGGTAATATTTGAAAATTATTAAGTCCTATTCTATTAGTACCTTCTTCATCAGATTCAATTAAATCAAAACTATTTTTCTTTGAATATTCAATAGTTTATTCCTTCTTTTTGATTTAATCTTTTTCTTCTTTCTTTATAGGTTACATAGTAGATTAACTTTATGAGTCTAAATGTTATTTAATAATATTATTTCTTATAAAGATTAATTCTAAAACTGATATTAATTTGCTTAGAGTATAATTCTTTTGAATAATATCAAAAGGTCTTTTTTATTCTTCATTATAAGTAAATAATAAGTAAGGATTTATAGAGTAAAGTTATAAAATAATTTTTATATTTTCACTCTTAGCAGCAAAATGCATAACTATAAAATATTAATATTAATACCTGAATTGCTTTTATGACCAAGTAATTTGAATGAAAAAACATCCCTTTAATATTACTCATTAATTGATATAGCAAAACGTAATGCAGAATAGGAAGACTTTTTGATTGCCAAATGTAAAGGTGTATTATTATTGATATTTCTTAAATTAGGGTCTGCACCTCTTTCGATTAATAAATGACCTATTTTTGTGGCTTCTTGTAGATTCTTTTTAAAAGATGGAATCAAATTATGTATAGGTCCATTACCTTTTTTATCTTACTTGTTAATTTAAACTTTTGCATTTAAAATATCCCTGATTAAGTAGTATTACATTTTACTCACAGCTTAATTTAGAATACTATTGTATTCTCCTCTTTTTAAATAAATGAGATAAAATACCCTCCTATATTTAAATTTGTAGATGCATTTATTATAATTTTTGCACAATGATATTTTTCTTCTTTGATAGCTAATGAAAGTGGTGTATGAGAACTATCATCTAATTATGAGGATAATTCAAATCTTATATTAAGAAGAGCTCTCACAATTCCAATATCTTCATTTTCAACTGCAATATGCATTAGATTTGATCCATTATCCGAGATATCAGCTTCCTATCCAAGGGTTTTTGTCTACATGAATTGAGAACTACTTGTTAATTCTTAAAGGGTTAATTCTGTATTTCTCTGAGTAGCTCTAGTAATATTGGACTATTTTGGAATTTGTACAGTAATAGAATCTTGAATTTAATCATCATGATATTTTTGATTGAATATCAAATAATCATGACAAATTATAAATTCATTATCCTTGAGAAGTTGATTTATTTAATCCCAAAATCTTTAGAGATCATCTGTTATCATCATATCTTTCTCTAATTTTATAATAAAAATATATATATTACTTGATGAATAGTAGTTTTGATTAGTATATTTAATCCAATCTAAACCTAATCCTTTAAGTTACTTCTCTAAATTCAGTATTGTTTTTGGTATTTTTGTGAAATCATTGCTTCTTAAATCAACAATTTTAAGTTGTTCCATTTGAAATAATTCATCTGGTAATATACGAATATGATTTTTGCCAACATCTAATCTCTCTAATGATGTTTTCCATTTATCCCCCAATTTGAGACTCTTTAATAAATTATTGTTAAGATTGATATGTGATAGAGATAATTCAAATAGACAACTTGGTACTTCTTGGAAGAGATTATTGGCTAAATTGATAATTGATAAACGAATGTATTGTTTTATTCCTTCATGTAAAGAATTCATTTTGGAATTTGAAAGATCTAACACTCTTACATTATGATCATAACTATTAATTAGATTCAAATTTTGCATCTTTACAATATACTTCGTCTAGTTTTTTTTCATCTATGACATTTATCTATCTAAAACTGAATGCTTTATACGTTTAATTTTCTTTTTAGCTTGTTTCATCAAAATCAATAAGTCCCCTTTACTTTTCTTTAATTGAATACTCATCTTTAAGGTTCATGTCCTTTCTTCTCTTAAACTATATCTGATCTTATTCATATTGATGACAGGTATTTTCATATGATTATAATGTATTACTCATAACTGATCGATATATTTTAATTATTGATTATCTAAATTACATTATCCAAATACAAATTACTTATAAAAAATTAATTAAAGGCAAGTCCTTGATCAAATATTGATAAATAAGCACTCCTTTTTACATAATTAAACAAGATATATATTATTTATTTTATATCTATAATCAAAAGAAATAAAACCCTAAAATTATAATATATTCTAAATATTATATGTAAAAATAAAGATTTTCATAATTTAATAGGGGAATAGTTAAAGAATTGTTGAAAATCATGACTAAGAGTTGTTTATAAAAGAATTACAATATTATATTTATTTATTAAATGGATGACCAATTTAAATGAATCAATTACTATTTATGTAATTTTTATGGTATAAATATCTAATAATGTTACTCATCTTTGAAATTCATATAAATTTTACAATCAGAAAATTTAAATGAATGTTGAGTATTACAACCAAATTGGCTTAATGTAATTTTGTTAGATAAAGAAAAGCCGATTGGATTAAGTTATTTAAATAGAAATAGAATTTAGTGGCCATAGAAGTCAAACAAAATATTACAAAAACATCTATAAATTATAAGATATCAATGAATTAAATATTAAAATCCAAAAAGACATCTAAAATCTCTTTTTTGTTTATACAGAGTATAACTGTCTTTGCAGTATTAATTGAAACTTGGATGCAAATACACACATATAATTTAATGCATTTAGCAAATATTTTAATATCTAAGATTTCTAATAATATTAAACTGACAGTTTGTTTGAATGATTCTAGATGTAGATTGGAGTATATGGATAGATTTTGATTTTGTGACAGGAATAAATAATTCATAGATTATTATTATTATAATATTAATTCAATTCACACGTGTGTTTGGAATTAAATAAATGTAAAAAATAACCACGTTAAATAACAATAATAAAAATGACAAATAAAACAAAGATACTCAATTATATGAGACCAGCCATGGCAATCATCCCAGATGTTGCTGAGCCTGAAAGAAGAGTACTAATTTTAATTGATTTTAGATCTTATTTAAATACAGAGCATTATGGACAGCCATTGCTACTTTGCTCTATCTGATTTGCTCCTAAATTCCACTTTATGGTATTTACAAATCATCTGCTGGTGATCCATTCTATTGGATGAGAGTTATATTAGCATCCAATAGAGGTACTTTGATGGAATTAGGTATCTCACCTATGGTCACAGCTTCTATGATTATGTAACTTTTGGCAGGTGCTAAATTAATTGATGTTGATTAAAATGTTAAGGAAGACAAATAACTTTACTCTGGAGCACAAAAATGTAATCAATTTTTTTTATTTTAGTATTGGGAATCCTTATTGCTTTTGGAGAAGCTTTTGCTTATGTTTGGTCAGGAATGTATGGAGATTTAGACAAATTAGGAGCAGGAAATGCTATCCTTATCATTATCCAATTAGTATTCTCAGCAATCGTGATGATCATGATCGATGAATTACTCTCTAAAGGATATGGAATTGGAAATTCAGGAACTTCATTGTTCATTGCTATCAATATATGTGAAAATATTATGTGGAAAGCATTCTCACCAATTACACATAAAACATAACTAGGACTTGAATATGAAGGAGCTATCATTGCCCTTTTACATGGACTCTTTATTTAAAGTGATAAAATTGCTGCCATCCAATCAGCTATTTTAAGAGACTCTTTACCTAATCTTACTAGTTTATTGGCTACAGTCCTTGTATTTTTGATTGTCATTTACTTCTAAGGATTTAAAGTAGATATTCCCATCAAAAACAATAAAGTTAGAGGTGGATTGACTTCATATCCAATTAAGTTGTTTTATACCTCAAATATCCCAATCATTTTGTAAACTGCACTTGTATCAAACCTTTATTTCCTTTCTTAAATACTCTATAGAAATTTCAAAGGAAACTTTTTAATTCGTTTATTAGGATATTGGTAAGAATTAGAAAATGGACAAACTGTCCCTGTTGGTGGATTAGTCTATTATGTATCACCACCAAGATCTATTTCAGAAGCTATTTTTGATCCTATTCATACTATTCTATATACTGCATTCATATTAGGAACATGTGCAGTCTTCTCCAAAACTTGGATTGACGTCTCTGGATCATCACCAAAAGATGTATTTATTAATCATTATATTTAGGTTGCTAAATAACTCAAAGAATAAGACATGTAAATTGTTGGATACAGAGATTCTTCAATGAAAGATGTTCTAAAGAGATATATTCCAATTGCTGCTTCATTTGGTGGTATGTGTATTGGAGCTCTTACTATTTTGGCTGATTTTCTTGGAGCTATTGGATCAGGTATTATTTTGTTATATATTTTTATAGGAACTGGTATTTTGCTCTCGGTCACTATCATTTATGGCTATTTTGAAACATTAAAGAAGGAAAAAGAATAAGGTACATTAGAGTTGTTTTGATATTATAAATTATTGTTTTAAGTGCATCACAATTAATATACCAAACATAATAAATAAGAAATTAATTCAATTGTATTTTTAAGTTTCTTAAGACTCTTGCATTTCAATTTTTTATAAATACTTTTTAGTTTTTTAATCATTGTATTTTAAATCTATATATGATAGGTTAATTTATGATAAATTATTTTATACACTTAATATAATACTAAATCATATGTTTAATTATAACTAATTAACACTCATTTGAAAATCTCTCTTTTTCTATACATAAGGATTGTTTTATTTTAACTTAAGTTAAACCTTCATTAAAATCTTTTTTAATAAAATTCCTTTTATTTTGCTATTCTTCATTTTTATATTAAATAATACCTTCAATTCAACAATTTGATTTTTCATTAGCATTTTTTCATCATTGAATTAATTAACTAACTGAACACTTTGTTAAATATAATTATTTTTTTTAATTAAGAGAAATACTACTTTCCTACTTTAAATTTGTGAATGTTCTATACCAAAATTAAGATGTAATGTGAGGTGAGAATAAAAACTTTCTTTATTATAAAATATTAAAATGAATTAAAGAAAATATGAAAAGCAAAGCAGAAAATCATCTCAAAATAAAAACTAAGATTTAGAATAAAACCCCAAAAGGAGATGGTCTAAGTAAGATACTCCAAGGAACTATGATAATATCAATAAATTATAATATAGTTTTGACTATTCCACGATAAATAACAAATATTTATAGTAAATAAGGAACAATACTAAAATTAAATAACTTATTGCTAAATAGAAATTGGAATAGCAGAATTCCCATCTTTTTAAAATTCAACAAGAATTCATACCAAAACCAAAGTGGCAAAATTATTAAGATAGTTTATAATCAATGATAAATCAATAAAAATATTTTGCTTATCTTGACTATTAAGCATCCTGATATTCATATATATCATTAAATTAACATTAATTTTATCTTATTTTTTACCTTTGAACATTATAACAATACTTTATAAACAATAACATTTTTTAGACTTGGAAACAATATTTTTATTTATATATACATTAATCATTCTTGTAATATGCATAAAGAATTGTTAAAACTAATATTACTTTAGTAATAAATTAAAAATAAACTCCACGTTTGTTATTCTATTTATATCAGCATTCTTTAAGGGTAAAATTATTAGATGTTTATTTTTAAGAATTTGTAAATTTTTATTACATTTTTTAATTAAGATCATATATATCTAAACTTAATTCATTAGGATTATTAATAATACATAACTTCTATTAAATTATAATAAAATAATTAAAATGGATTTAATATAATGCCAAAAAGAAATTCGTTTAGACTAACCTAGACCATTTATTATAAAAGAAAATAAAATTAGGGTTTTCTGTATCTGAATAAATAAATTCAAGTTAAATCTACCAAAAATACTCATATATAACTATAAATACTTTTAAAAAAGGAATTAAAATATTCTAGTTACAATTAATACTTCAGATGCTATTGATAATAATCAAAAAAATACATTAATGCTTATAAATATTGCCATATTAAGTTTAAAACTTTGTTTTTAATAATAATATAATTATATCAATAAAAATAGTTATCTACTTTTTAGTAATAAAATCTTCTATTAGATTTAAGAATTCTTTACCTTAAGGAAAAGAAAATTGTAAAAAGTTTTTAATTTTAATAGAATATCTAAACTTCTATTTAGGAAAGGTGCTATATTATAACTAATCTACATATTTAAAAGTGTAGAATGTAATAATTACTATAATTAATGAAAATCTAACAAAATTCTATATGGAAAAAAAATAAATAAATAAATAATATTAAAAAATCTTGGAGTTTCGAAATTAATTACTCTACAACCAATATTAAATATAAATTAAATAAATTATTCTATTAAAAAGAAAATAAAGTAAGGGCTTAAAGAATAAAAAATATTATTTCAAGAGGAGTTAGGTTATGATATAATATACAGAAATAATAAAATATATAAAATTCATTTATTAAATAGATTTAATTAATTTCTAGTTATAAGAAAGTTAAAAATGGGGATTTTTTTGGAAATAAAACATAAATTTAAATAGTTTAAGATTTAAATCTATTTTGAAATTGTAAAAAAAATTTGTTTTTAATTGATTATATATTATTATTATGAAATAATAATGATTTATTATTTATAAACTCATAAATCATCGATTTTAATAGATTCTTCTTCATCTTCATAATTATTTGTTTTTTAATTGGCTTTTTTAGGAAATATTGATACTTTCTTTCTAAAAATCATTTTAAAGACAATATATCCAAGAAAAACAATGAAAACTATATACAAAATTATAAATAATAGATTTTATAATTAAGGTTCTTATCTTTGTAGCATTATTTAATTTTTTAATTATAATTAATAAACATTAGAACTAAAGTTGAAATATTTACTATTTTAATTAATAGATGCAATCAATTAAATTGATTAAATATTTTAAATAGGTTCATATTATTCATCAAGAGTTTAATAATATTCGGTTAAATTATAATATCCTTTAATATGCATAATAATATTATTTTTATAAACTATTTTTGTAATGATATATATTTGAGAAATATTGAGTTGATCACATTTTATTTATTAGCAATCAAGAATTTATGTATTCAGAGTAAGGTTCTTAATTTATTGTTAATATTTAAGAGGCTACAAGAAAATATTATGAGATATAATTTTAACATTTTCACAAGGTTTTTCTTAAACTTAAAATGTAATTGATTAGTTTATGCCTGTTATCATAAAATATGTATAACTATCTTATTTTTTGTTGTTTGTAAATTAGACTTCATAATAATTTTAAGCAATCTTTTAAAATTCCGATCTTCCGTTTTTATTAATAATTTCAATTGATTCTTCTAAATCTTCCATAAAATATAAAAAATAAATATTATTGTTTGTATTGGCTATCTTAAATATTTCTACATTAAAATCAATTGAAGAAATATCTTAATCAAAGTCTATTTCCAAAAATTTAATATCAGTTAACCTTATATCTAACTCCTATTAAACTTGACTTCTTGTTATTATAGTGTATTGCAATCCTTCTTTAATTTAAAAAGATAACCTTAAATATTTTTTAGTATTGTAAATTTATGATTGTTCAATGAATTTTTCATTCTCTATAAATTTTATTTCAAATAAAGAATTATCTTCTTCATAATTCATTTAATTATAATAAATATGGAATTGAATTTCTCCATTAAATTATGCTACATATTTGAATTCCATCTAACATTACATACAATAACTAATTTTTCTTAATTAATACAAGTTTAATATATAGAAAGAAGGTTCTCTTATATGTAATTAATATTCGATTGCTTTTTATTTTGTTTTAATACCTATATACATCTTGCTAAGTCCATTCATTTATATCGTTTTGATATTTGGTTCTCTTAATTCAAATTGGTTCTAATACTCATTAGGATATAAGGTTTTATTAGAAAAATAAATTTATACTAGAAATTCATTGTCATAAACAAAAATCTCAAAAATAAATTCAGGAAATATAGTTTCAACACAATAGAATTGATAAGAATTTTCTTCTTATTCTAATCTAAAATTTGAATTCAAATATAGGATCTATATTTAATTGATATATTATAAGGTTAATTATTAATGTGAAGAAGTCTAAATATAAAAATTTTAATCCCAATCTTATAAATTTTATTCTTCTTTGACCAAAATAATTATATTACCTTGAAATTATTTTCTAGAGTTTTTGGTGAATTAGATTGCTTTAATATTTGAGTTGAAATAAATAAAATTTAGAGAATTTAAATCATCCAATACAAGAGAGGCTTCTTAGTTTGATATTTCTATTTATGTTACTTTGTTAGGTTTAATAAATTACACATTTGCATAACTATAGTGTTTAATAGTAAGTTAATAAAAAGTGGCATTATTGGTAGTTACTTTAAGTTGATAACTACAAAGATCTTCAAAAGAATCTTGTAAAATCAGAGTGCATTCTATTTATGAATAGTTTAGTAATAATTTAGTCTAATTCATTTAATTTTAGCAAATATTACTTTTACAAGTTGAAAGTTCCAAATATCCAGATCCATATTTATAAATAATCTCTATTTGATAAAAACCTGAAGTTTCATAAGTCATATTTAGATTATAAAATATTTCTGATTAATTTTTAGTAAAACCTAATTCAGATTGAAATCTGGTTAGAAATCTTGGATTTTTATTCATCTAGATATTATATTTATACCATAAATCTTAATACTATGGTAATGGATCAAGGATAATTGTAGTCTTATAATTAGATAATTAAAAATCTTTGGATATAAAAAGGCCATATTATGCTTCTTCTATTTGCACTTAAAGTAATTAATTATATGTGTTATCTTCTATTTATATTGATGTTGGTGTTGGATAATCAAATTAAAAATCAAACCATAAATAATCCTTATCTAATTGCTATTTTTCTTCTTTTGTAATATTCAAATCAATATGTAATGAATTGTTAATTCTTCCTTTTTATTCAAATATAAAATAACAAAGACTTTATGTAATTAATATTAGAAAAATTAACATTAAATAATTTATATCAAATTATAACTATTTAAAAATAGAATGTACTTTAGAAATAATATTGGAATTAAAAGAGAATAAAAATCTTAGAATGGAATAGTATATAATAATGAAAAAATTGAATTAAAAATTGTACATGAATATTTTTATATGAGAATAAAATTGTTTGAGATATTAATTATTATATAATATTTTCATAATCATTATTTCAAAGAGGATGACAGATATTTTTGATAGAATAGTAGTTGCCATAAGAAAAAGACCACTATCTTAAAAGGAAATTCTTAAAAAGGAGGAAGACATAATTATTGTACAAAATGATAACAGTGTGATCGTTAAAGAAATTAAGTAAGATTAATAAATTAAATGAATGAAGATAAAAAGTTGACCTCACCAAATATATTGAAGAACATTAGTTTAATTTTGATCTTGCTTTCAATCAAAACCAATCAAATGAATAAGTCTACATAAATGCTGTTAGACCTATAATTCGTGCAGCTTTTCAAAGAGCAAAAGTGACATGTTTTGCATATGGATAAACAGGAAGTGGCAAGACATATACAATGATTGGAGATTTGGAGAAATAAGTACCTGGAATGTATTTATTGGCTGGTTAAGACATATTTTAAATAATTGAAATGGTAAAATTATTAAATTAATATTAAAATTAGGAAGAATATACACATCTATAAGTATATGTGTCATTTTTTGAGATTTATTGTGGAAAATTATATGATTTACTATCTTAAAGGAATTAAATTTAAATAAGGGAAGATGCAAAAGGTAATGTTAATATGATAAATTTAATGGAGAAAAAGATAAATTCAGTATAATAATTAATGCATTTCATTTAATTAGGGTAGAATGTTAGAATTACAGGTAAAAATAATAAAAATAAAAATATTAGCATCAAATAGTTCAAATTCTGAATCATCAAGATCTCATGCAATATTATAAGTGATATTAAAATCAGGGAAAACAATTCATGGAAAGATGTCATTCATAGATTTGGCAGGTAGTGAAAGAGGTGCTGATGTTTAAGATTAAAATAAATAAACTAGAATAGATGGTGCTGAAATAAATAAGTCATTATTAGCATTGAAAGAATGCATAAGAGCTTTAGATCTAAATAAAAATCATACACCTTTTAGAGGATCTAAATTAACTTTGGTATTAAAAGATAGTTTGACTGGTAATTGCAAGACAGTTATGATTGGAAATATTTCTCCAAGTTCGCAAAGCAGTGAGCATACTCTTAATACATTAAGATATGCTGATAGAGTTAAAGAGTTAAAAAAACCAGAAAATAGATTGTGTTAAGGAGATTTAA